TAAAAAAAAAAAAAAAAAAAAAAAAAAAAATGTTTTTTATATTGAGAAACAGAGAGAAAGAGAGAAAGAGATCATAACCAGGGGAGGGGCAGAGAGAGAGACACACACAGATTCCAAAGCAGGCTCCAGGCTCTAAGTTGTCAGCACAGAGCCCGACTCAGGGTTCAAACTCAGAAACTGGGAGATCATGATCTGAGCCAAAGTTGGATGCTTAACTGACTGAACTACCCAGGCACCCCTCAAATGTCTTTTAATCTATAGATTTTCCCTCCTTTTCCCCCCTTGTCATTTAAGAAGTATGTCATCTGAGGGTGTTGGGGTGGCTCAGCTGGTTGAGTGTCTGACTCTTGGTGTCAGCTCAGGTCTTCACCTCATGATTCAAGCATTTGAGCCCCGTGTAGGGCTTCACATTGACAGTGTGGAGCTTGCTTGGAATTCTCTCTCTCCTTCTCTTTCTCTACCCTTCCTCTGCTCACTCTATCAAAATAAATAAATAAAAAGAAAAAAACTTTTTAAAGTACATCATTTGATCTACATCATTTCCCACATTCAGGATTTTACTGATTGTAACCCTATGATATGGTTTAGCATGTTCCTCTTGCCTCTGTTTCCTATAAACTAGACCTACAGGCTCTATCAAATTCAGGTTCAGTTTTTTGGCAAGAACACTTTACAGGTGGCACTGTGTGCTAGGACATTTCTTACATCACTTCAGAAAGGTAACAATGCTTGGCTTGTGATCACTTTGAAAAAAGAATGTAATAAATACTCACTGAACTAAATTTGGAAAATAAAACTTAGAAAACTATTAAAATTTTGAGAAAATTGGTCACCCAAATTCCCATCCCTGTGGGTCTATTAACAAAATTTTTTTATTTTCTACAAAATCTTAAGATCTTTTTTTTAAATTTTTTTTAATGTTTTATTTATTTCTGAGAGAGAGACAGCGTGAGTAGGGGAGGGTCAGAGAGAGAGGGAGACACAGAATCTGAAACAGGCTCCAGGCTCTGAGCTGGCTGTCAGCACAGAGCCCGATGCGGGGCTCGAACCCACAAACCATGAGATCTGACCTGAGCCGAAGTCTGACACTTAATCGACTGAGCCACCCAGGCGCCCCCAAAAACTTAAGATCTTCTTGAGGCTCCTTCATTTATTAATAGACCAAGCAGTCATTGGGCACCTACGGTAGGCAAGTACTGTTTCTGGGGATGGGATATACAGCAGCGGACGAAACAAAGCCTGTCCTCATAGAGCTTTCATTCTAGCTGGGGCAGACAGTTAACTGAGAATTAAACAAGAACTAGGAGAATAAGGGCTAGAAATAAAAATAAAGCCCGGTAACAGGAATAGGGAATGCTGGGGGGTAGGGGGGATACAGGGTGATCGATGTCACCTCACTGAGAAGGGGACATTGGCAGACAGTTGCATAATGTGAGGAAACAAGCTGTGCAACAATTGGGGGAAGAACATTCCAGCAGAGGGAGCAGAGATTTTGAAGGACAGCGAATAGGATGGGGGGGGTGGGGGGCACAAGTAGAAGAGCTCAGAGAGGCAGCTGGGAGCCTGAGCAGGTAGGAACCTATAGGTGATTTTAAGTTTTTATCTTTTATTCTGAATGAGAGCTTTAGCAACGGATCTTTGGTACAGTTCATCCAGGACATCAAAAAACAGGGAACCTGTGTACAACAGGAATGTGGGTCTTGCCATTAAATGTTTCACTATTTAGAAAAGGATCACAAGAAAAGCTGAGGGACAAAATGCTCGTTGTGAAAGGTTTGGTAACACAACTCTTGTGATCATGGGGCTTCTGACGCAGCACAGGGTAACAGAGAGAAGAATATCAGAGTAAGTCAGAAGGCCTGGTTTCTACTATCAGTTCCCTTTTTTGTTAGCAGAGTGACCTCAGGCCAAGTCCTTGATCTGAACATCAGGTTCCTTCTGTCATCCACTCTACCAGTCTCTTCAGGTTATTGTCAGAATAAAATTAAATGCTACTCGGGAAAATGTTCACAACCTGAAATGACTTGTACCAATGTGAGAATTATTATCTGGATTTAATGTGATTTTAAAAAGAAAAACCACCCAACAAAGAGAACTCTGATTTGCTACTAAATCACTATTCCTCAGATAAGCTACATATCAAAGAAATTCTCAGTAAAGGCAAAATTGGATTTAGCTATGATACCAGATGGCTTTCATTCTCACCACTGCCTCAATTCTGAAATAATTATGTTTCAGCATGGTAATTATAAGTCAAGCTATACAAACATACTGTAAACACAAACTTAAAATGGATGAAAACTCCAATATGTAAAAAGGTAATGACTGTTGGAAAAAAAACCTTGAAAAGGGAATGGGAATAGAAAGAAAAAAGTTAGTCCTCTTTTAGATCCTGATGAAAGTAAATGTGCACTATAAAGATGATTCAAGGGGGCGCCTGGATGGCTCGGTCAGTTAAGCATCTGACTTCAGCTCAGGTCATAATCTCACAGTTCGTGGGTTTGAGCCCCTCACTGGGCTCTGTGCTGACAGCTCTGTGCTGACAACTGGAGCCTGCTTCAGATTCTGTCTCCTTCTCTCTCTGCCCCTCCCCAACTCCCCAACTGTCTCTCTCTCACTCAAAAAATAAACATTAAAAAATATTTTTTTAAAGATGATTCAAATATTATTTTTTTAAGTTTATTGATTTTGAGAGAGAGTGTGCAGAGGAGGGACAAAGAGAAAGAGAGAGAAGAGAGAATCCCAATTTAGAACCTTCTGAACTATCAGTGTGGGGCACAATTTCACCAACAGTGAGATCATGACCTGAGCCGAAATCCAGAGTCAGACTCCCTAAGTGACTGAGCCATCCAGGTGCCCTTCAAATATTTTAAATCCTTTTCGACTCAGGGAATTTAGACCTCCTGCATATTTGCATTTGGGCTTCTGACATGGGTAAATAATTGGAAAAAGAAGCCAGGTTAGGTTTGAAAAATCACCACCACCCACCAGGATACACATTTTAGCAAACTCTTCAGAAAGTCAAAAATGCTATATGGTTGTGTGTAAAAAGTTAGAAAGAACTACTAATTATCAGAAGTAAATGTCAATGATAACTTAGAGACAGGCAGAAAGTATTTTAGCTCTAAAGACCTCAAACAAGTTGGAAGCCTACCCTCTAGCTACCATCAGTAACACTTTCCGGCCCAATCAAGAATCATTTATTAAGACATACTTGCAAATTCTATTGTTCTAACTGTTAAACAAACAACAGGGGCGCCTTGGATGGCTGTCAGTTAGGCGTTGACTCTTGATTTCAGCTCAGGTCATGACCTCAAGGTTCACGAGTTCGAGCCTTCTGTAAGGCTCTGCACTCTCAGCTCCGAGGCTGCTTGGTACTCTCTCTTTCCCTTTCTCTCTCTCTCTCTCTGCCCCTTTCCCACTCACACGCATGTGTGTGTGTGCTCTTTCTCTCAAAATAAATTATAAAAACTTTAAAACAAAAAGTGGAGTAGGTATGATTCCCATCCTAGAACTTCCCACGTGAACTAGTTTAAAGTTTAACAACAACCAGAATGAAAAGTTTTAGTTTAAGAACTTAAGTCCATTACTAATAGAAAATAGATCTTAAAAAATAATAACAAGGAGCTGGAAAACACACAATGGCTAACATACAGGTCCCTTAGAATGAAAATTTAGCATTAACTTTCATTTTTGTGTCTTTACTTTGTATGTATTTGAGTTTTTTAATTGATGGTTTAATTTGCCAGAATGAGAAAGAACATTACATTTTTATAACAGAGTCCCATGGAAGTGTAAAATAAATGGACCCAGATGCCACACTATTGAGGACTTTTTGATCACTCTTTGTAATTATTATGAATAAGTGTTATGCTTTTTCAAAAGCCATTTTTTTCCAGTTGTCATTTCCTGTTTCTCTGGCTTTGATGATTCATAAAGTAGGCTATAAATCTCAGTTAGCTCTTGTTTTTATTTAGTTGAAATGTTGAGGGGCAAGGGAGAGGGGGGTTACTAATAAATCTTGTATCTCTCTGGAAACACAACTTGCATGTTCTTTATTCTTAATTTCTTGACTCCAAATATGAAAAAAAAACTTTAAGAAGCACAAAGGAAAATGTACTTAAATTTACTCTCCTTTATTGAAGGTAAGGGGCAATAGGTGCAGCTTTCCAACTTATTTTTTTAATGTTACCCACCACTAACCATCACCATATTAAAACCCATTAAACTAACAAAGGACCAATTTAGCTTATTATTTTATACCTTCAACAAATGTTTACTGAGTGGCTACTATGTCCCAGATATATACTAAGTATACAGAAGTAAACAAATAAAAACTCCTGCTTTCGTGGAGTTTAAATTCTGTAAGGGTAGAGAAAAAGGATAAACAAATTATAAGGAAAGTTAGGTAGTAATAAGAGCTCTGGAGAAAAAAAAAACAGGAAAGGGAAATACAGAGTGTGTTAGGGGTAAGGGTGTTATCATTTTATTTTTATTTTTGGGGGGGGCACAAGTGAGCAAGGGGCAGAGAGAGACAAAGAGAAAAGTGGAGCTCAGAGGGACAGAGAGAGAGAGAGAGAGAGAGAGAGAAGTGGGGCTCACTGGAAGCAGGGTTTGAGCTCCTGCAAGGCTCATGCTCACATATGCGGGGCTCAAGCTCACCTGATGTGGGACTCAAACTCACCAACCGAGAGATCATGACCTGAGCGGAAGTCAGATGTTTAACGACTGATCCAAACAGGTGCCCAGAGTGTTAACATCTTAAATAGGGTGGTCTGGAAATGTCTCTTTGAAAAGGTGGTATTTCAGTCAAGATTTGTAAGCCATGCAATTATCAAGGGTAGGACATTCCAGGCAAAGGGAAAAGCAAACATAAAAGCTCCGAAGCAGGAGAGTATGTTCTAGTCTGAAGAAGAGTTAAGAGGCCAGAACAACCAGAGTAAAGAGAAGAAGAATAAAGATTCTAAATCTCCTTTCTGGCTTTTCACCAAGACATTCTGAGGTATGGTTTTTCATTATTTTGCAGATTTCGTGACTACCATATATGTCACCTAGTGACTGTGGGGCTCATAACCTCTGGCAGCCAGTGAAGCAAATGAATGCCCTTCTCAGAGTAATGCTTTTAAACGCATAAAATAAAAAATATAAAATTATAAAAGAAACTAATTACATTAAAATACAGTTCTAGCCCTAGGCCTCCAAACTTCGTGAAGGGTCAGCAAGTTAAGAGCTCCTGAATTTTCTAGGGTGATGGAAATGTTACACAGATATATACACTTGTTAAAACTTATTGACTTGCACACTTAAGATCTCTACATTTCACTGTATGTAAATTATGCCTCAACTTAAAAAACCCTTGAATATATATATTTTTTAATGTTTATTTATGTTGAGAGAATGTGCAGGCATGAGCACAGGAGGTGCAGAGAGAGGGGGAGAGAAAGAATCCCAAGCAGACTCCATGCTATCAGCCAGAGCCTAATGTGGGTACAATCCCACAAACCACAAGATCATGACCTGAGCAGAAATCAAGAGTCAGAGGCTTAACCATGAGCCACCCAGGTGCCCCAAAACCTTGAATATTCTAGTCCCTCTTTATTTTATAGATGAAGAACAGGCTCACTCAAAAGCCAGAGTCTTACCAAAGGCTTTTATGATTTGCAGTATTCTTTTTTTTCTTTAAAGATTTTATTTTTATTTTTAAGTAATCTCTATACCGAATGTGGGGCTTGAACTCAACCCTGAGATCAAGAGTGGAGACCAAGTGGGGTGTCTGGATGGCTCAGACTTGAGCATCAGACTTCGGCTCAGGTCATGATCTCATGGTTTATGAGTTCAAGACCCTTATGAGGCTCGCTGCTGTCAGCAAAGAACTCGCTTGGGATCCTCTGTCCCCCCCCCCCGTCCCTCCCCTGCTCATGCTCACTCTCTCTCTCAAAAATAAATATATATATAAAAAAAAGTGGAAATCAAGAGCCAGCCAGGAGCCCCAGTATTCTTACTTAAATATACAGGGCTAGTTTCAACTGAAGACCTACCCATTCACAACCACCAATCATTTGTGATTTTATATATTAACTATGCCCATTGCAAGTGATCAAGCTGTTTTTAGAGCCTGGATGAAAAGGGCACTTACTCCAAACCAGATCCCTACCCCATAGTAGAACCATCAGACCACAGTCTGTGGTCTAGAAAAGATAGGGAGGTGAATGTGTTAAGGAAGTAAAAAGGGAAGGGGAGAAGCAGAAGGAAGAAAATAGAGTAATTTCCTATATTCCCAAAGCTCTTGAGTTAAGAAAAGCAACAACTTTTATAGTCTAATTTTAATAGATATTATAAACATTTCCCCTTAATATGTAAGGTCAATTCTACCTACTTGCATAGGATATAATCAAGTAAGGAAGAATCTCAAATTAATAAACCCTTCTATTGACTTACCAGATGGGACACTCCAAGATTTTCTGCATAGCATTAAGGACATTTTGTACTTCTTCAACACGATCTGCAGATAAATCCATTTCTCCCTGTTCCAATGAATGTTAAGGGATAAACTTAAATATATGTATATATATATATATATATACACACATATATATATACACATGTACACACACATACACAAGTCACTTTAAAAGATTTGTAAGAAAAACAGCCTAGTTTCATTAAATGTCATTTTTATTTTTTTATTTATTTTATTTTATTTTTTTAAATGTATTTCTAGGAGAGAGAGAGAGACAGCGTGAGCGGGGGGCGGGGAGGGGTCAGAGAGAGAGGGAGATACAGACTCCGAAATAGGCTCCAAGCTCTGAGCTGGCAGTCAGCACAGAGCCCGACGTGGGGCTGGAACCCATGAACAGCGAGATCATGACCTAAGCAAAAGTCAGACGCTTAACCGACTAAGCCACCCAGGCGCCCCTAAATGTCATTTTTAAATAAGAGAAACTTAACGACTGGAGTGCTTTAAGATTATACCAACCATAGAATTAATGACAAAACTTTATTGTTTTTTAATTCAAAAAAATCGTTGGGGCGCCTAGGTGGCTCAGTTGGTTGAGCATCAGACTTTGGCTCAGGTCATGATCTCGTGGTTCGTGAGTTCGAGCCCCAAGCTGGGCTCTGTGCTGACAGTTCAGAGACTGGAGCCTGCTTCAGATTCTGTGTCTCTGTCTTTCTGTCCCTGCCCTGCTCACACTGTCTCTCTCTAAAAATAAATAAACATTTAAAAAATTTTAAGTTGTTTTTTGTAATTAAAGACCATTTACGTTCTCTATTTTTTCCCCACATATAGCCTCCAACCACTTCCTTTTGGTGTTTTCCTCTCTCCAAGAAAAAGCCACAAGGGAGTGACTGAGTAGCCTCATATTTCTCCAATCACCTGGCTCTTTTCTTTATCTTACTTAAAACCAAACTCAACAAAAACAAACCAACACCAACCCACGCTCCCCACCCCTGCTCTTCCCCAGGGTTTCCCACTGGTGTGCATTCATCTCGGGATCCCTTTAGGCACTTCCATACCAGAAACATCCGTGACTGCTGACACCCCTCTACTTTCTTCTTGTCCCTTCTCGGAAACGCGTATGAAGCCAGTTCTTTCTTCAGGGCTCTCCCTCGCTCAAAATCCACCCCCTTCTGGGGCGCCTGGGTAGCCCAGTCGGTTAAGCGTCTGACTTCAGCTCAGGTCATGATCTCACTGCTTGTGAGTTCAAGCCCCGCGTTGAGCTCTGTGCTGACAGCTCAGAGCCTGGAGCCTGCTTCAGATTCTGTGTCTCCCTCTCTCTGCCCCTCCCCTGCTTGTGTTCTCTCTCTCTCTCAAATATAAAATAAAGTATAAAAAGTTTAAAAAAAAAACACCCACCCCCTTCCTATTCTCCGACACATTCCCGCTCCCTTTCCTTCCTCAGGATCCCCTTCTCACACATCCCAGCCCGTCTTTTTACACTATGATATTCCCTTCAGGACACATGCCAGTTCCTGTCACCCTCGGACACCCCGCTCCCTCCCTTGTCTTCAGTGCCTCCCCCACCCCCACCCCGGGACCCACAAGGTGTCCCCCTCCCCACAATTTCCCCAGACTTAACGTCTTAGGCTTCTCTGGTTCCACCCTCCCTCCGCCCGCCCCTGCCAGGTAACACCCATCTTGTTCTCCCCCACTCTCTCCCTACCTGTTCCCTGCCGGTCCCTCGGAGCACCCCTCGGGCCCTGTCCCTTCCGGCGAGTTCTCTCACCTTTACCCAGAGCAAAGCGTCGGGGCTTCCCGGGCCCAGGGCCCCACTTACATAAAAACCTCCCGGACCGCCCTCAGTCCAGAAAAACCTCAGGGACCTCTTGCCGCACAGTCGCACTTTTCAATTTTTCTGTAATTCCCGCGCTTTTCTGTTGCCACGGAAACAGTCCGCAGCCGCGGAGCGAGAACCGCTCAGAATACAGGATCTAAACACGTTACGGAAGGGCGGAGCCAAAAGAGCCGAGAGTCTTTCCGGACCCCTGATTGGCCATCCAGTCTCCCCGCCTTACGTAATTAGAAAGGGACGGAAGAGAGAATTCTCCCCCAGTTTTCTATGAGGCCCCTGCCCCTTCACCTCTACACTTTCAGTTGCAGCTAATTACGTCACAGAGAATGCGGGACTAGGGTCGGGATCACTACTGAGGCCCGAATAGGAGCGCAAGATACTGCCTGAAACAGTAGCAAAAAGAGGCTCCGTTCCCGAATTTCCGCCGCCATGGAAAGCTCCAGTTTAGGTAAATAAAAGGATTGTGTGGGGAAAACTACAATTTCCAGCATGCATTGCGGATCGAAAGGCCTTCGCCACAGTGTTTCTTGGAAACTGTAGTCTTATGGAGAGGCGCTTCCGACACCGGAAGCGGGCAAGATTGTCACGGCAATCCGCTTGACAGGTTGAAGAGCTCCGTGCGCTTACGCACGTAAACAGATATGGATTGGAGTATTAATTTTTCACATCTTGAGAGCGGAGAATAGGCTAAAGAACCTGCAAGTCCCAGGAAGACTACAATTCCCATCCAGTCCCGCAAGTCTCGGGCAAGGAGTCTACCGAGGTCAGTGACCTAAGGGAACGCAGTGGGCGCCGAATATACCTGGGAAGGGGTAATGGGCCCCGGCCCACGACTGCGCACTTGTAGTTCCGCCCCTCTGCCCCAGTGTTTGTTGTTGTTGTGCTGTTCTGGCTGCGGTTGCCCCGCCCCTGCCACGCATGCTCGGCCAATCAAGGGAGGTGGTCGTTTTGAGAGACAGCTGGTAAGAGCCAATCATCTTGTCGGAAACTCAGAAACTGGGGGCTAGGCCCTATTTCTATCCGCCATGTTAGATTTACCCCGCAGGGATAGCAGCGGAGCTGGCAGCGAAAGGTTTTTGCACTGGCCTCGGGCAGGCGCCCCCCGGGGGCGGGGAGCTGGTAAGGAAGTAGCTGCGGTTACAGAGGGGTGGGAGCATATCGCCACTGAGAGAGCTAGGGGAAGTTTAAGGAAGGGGTCCTGCAAAAAGAGAGGGGCGACTTTTTCTATGTCTGGGGGCAGCCAGTTTTTTAACTGGTTGAGAGAGCCGTTCGGGCCAAGGGGCTGAGGGCGGCGGCTACTGCCACAGAGATGGAGGGTCCATGGCTCAGAACGCTTGGTATCTGCTGATAGAAGGCCGAGACTCTAGCAGAAAGAGGGCCTAGGCAAAGAAAGCGAGATTCTTCGGGATGGTGACACGGTCTTGGGGACATGGAGGGCTAGGGAAACGATAACTGGGGGACGAGGATAAAGTCTGCAAGGAAAAAAAATGACAGTGCCCACACAGCCTCCCCTCCCCCCCCACCCCCGCTTGTTGAGAACCGTGTAAAGATGTCTCCTTGGTCAGAGGCCTTTGGTTTTGGAAAGGCACCGTTTTTCCTTTTTGTCAAGCACCCAGTAGTATGTCCCATGTTTTAACCCCCGGATAGCTTGTCAGGCCTTTGGTGGAGATGGTAATCAAAGCTCAGGTTCCCAGGTCCGCTTCACTAAAGGGATTTTTGGTATTCTGAAAAAATTGACGTAGAGGAAACCCTGACTTGTGCCAAGCAAAGGTGAGCCAGTGGCATGAACTTATAAGGTCAGTTTTGAAAGCTGAAGGCCTAGGACCCAGCCGTCAGACTTTACTGGCTTTTTAAACCTACAAGATCAGATGGTGCTAACCATAGCTTTGGTATTTCCACAAAGTCAAGATTAATGCTCTTGCTGAAAGAATTTTCACATAAAAGCCAAACAGAAATAGGCAGTTCTTTAAGAAGACCTGGATATGTTCCAGCTAAACTAGAATCCCCCACTTCCTGTTTTCTCTCATCAGGCTACCAGCTGGATGAGCTCCAAGATATCTAAACTAATTTTAATTGTGTAATTTGAGACAAGGGGCGTTAGATTAGTTTCCTCCTGGACTCTCAAAAGAGTGGAAGTGTTTCTGGGAAGTTGAAAAATAAGAAAGTGATTCAGAATACCCACTTTTTGGCTGACTGAATCAGTTACTTCATTTCCCAGATTTTTTTTCCCCCTCAAGAATCTAGAAAGTTGTCCTGGGGAGGAGTTCTGTCCAAATGTTAAGGACCCCAAGAATTTCATTCCATATGAATGAATATTAGATGTCAGTAGATTTGTGCTAGAAACTGCTGTTGTTTTGGTTGTGACCTTGACTGTAGGTAGGGACAAAGAATGAAAAAAAAATTGGAGGATGATTGGTTTTGAATTTTAAAAAATCTCTGATCCTCAGAAAGTTCAAAGTCCTTTTAATGTTTTGTTTTTAAGAGAGAGAGTGAAAGAGAGCATGCAAGCAGAGGAGGGGCAGAGAGAGAGGAGGGAGAGGGAGAATCCCAAGCAGGCTCCGCTCTGTCAGCACGGAGCCAGACGCAGAGCTTGACCCTGTGAACCGTGAGATCATGATCTGAGCCAAAATCAAAAGTCAAGTGTCAGATTCTTAACCAACTGAGCCACCCCGGCACTCCCAAAGTCCTTTTTAATGACACTCTCAATTGTATTGTTTCACAGGAGAGTACATTATATCGTGGACAAACGGGACTGTTTTGGCTTCTAAAGACTGATTTGTTACTATAATTTTTGTGTTTGATTAATGTTTTCAGAAAACTTGCACACACATTTTTGTTTGACCTGTTTTACAGATTAAGCAACCAATCTGCTCAGTTCAAATGACTTGCTGTTATGTACATAGCTAGTAATGTGTCAGAGCTGTGTCTAGAGCCCAGCTCTTCTCAGCCCTTTAGCTACCTCCCCCATTACACTGCAAACTCTTGAGACATAGTTGTTCATTTCCTTTCTCCATTTGCCTAGAGCAGAATCTGATTCTTTCAAGAGATTTCTTAAAATATTTGCTGATGAATATGTTTAAAAGATGACCTTTTCTATTGCAACTTAGGTTTAGATTTTAATAAAGTATTTTTTCACAGAGTCATAAGAACAAAACAATCTAGATGTGCCTGGGTGGCTCAGTCGGTTGAGCATCCGACTCTTGATTTTGGCTCAGGGCATGATCTCATGTTTCATGGGTTCGAGCCCCACACCGGTCTATGTGCTGATGGTGCCAAACCCTGCTTGGGATTCTCTCTTCCTCTCTCTCTGCCCCTCCCCCACATGTGCCTCTGAGCAGGCTCTCTTTCTCTCCAAAATAAATAAATAAACTTAAAATCTAACAACTCATCAGTAAATAAAATTCTTATTTAAAAACAACCGACCAGAACAAACATCAGATTATAGAATTGTTAACTTCTTAGGCAAATTTCTTATTTTCTTAAGGGTTACATAATTATGTTATGGATGAAGTAATGGCTGTTTGTCAAAATAATCCAATAGGGAAAGGGTATTGGTGTAACAAGATTAGTTGTGGGTTGTTGATAATTATGGAAAATTCCTGATGGGTCCTTGGGAGTTCATTGTATATTAATCTTTCTTCTTTTGTATATGTTTAAATTTTCCCATAATAGGTTTTTTTTTAATTAGGTTACAATAGTGTGGTCAAAACATTAGTTGACTGTGGTCAATCTATATTGGGGGATTTTGGAGCAATACAGAAGAATAGACAAAACGAGGGTAGCCTTGAGTTGTTTATTATAGTTATATGTCCATGATTCTCCACTTTTATGTATGAAATTCTCCATAAAAGAAAAGAAAGTAAAACTATCAAAAAAAAAAAAAACCCCACACATGAACTTGGATGAAAGTGTTGACTGCTACCCTTGTGTAGTTTCTTGGCTAGTATATTGGCTTCTAAATTGTTAAAACTGATCTTAAATTTTTTTTTTAATGTTTTATTTATTTTTGAGAGAGAGACAGCCTGAGCAGGGGAGGGTCAGAGAGAGAGAGGGAGACACAGAATCTGAAACAGGCTCCAGGCTCTGAGCTAGCTGTCAGCACAGACCCCGACATGGGGCTCGAACCCATGAATCGTGAGATCATGACCTGAGCCAAAGTCGGATGCTTAACCAACTGAGCTACCCAGGTGCCCCAAAACTGATCTTAATAAAGAGCCTGGGTTGCTCAATTTAGGAAAAGGCTGCTTTTCAAGGAAAAATATTGAATGTAGCTTTAAAGCTATGAGAATGTAAATTCCCTGAGGGTAGAGACCAATGGATGTTCTTCATCTTTGTTGGTATCTTGCTACTAGTGGATATTCAGTGGTATCTATTGAATTAACTAATCATAAGAAGTTCCATAAATCCAAAAGAATTTTACAACTGTTTGAGGATTTCTGTGGATGTGGCCAAAATGTATACTGTTTCAGCAAACATTTAACAGTGAAATTTGTTTTAAGTTACCCACCAGGTTGTAAGTAGCAGAAGAGCAGAGATACTGTGTTCTCCTTTGCTGTCATGTTGTCCTACCCTAACCCATATTAGGCCTTCACACGTATTCGTTGAATGAATGTTTATGCAGTTTATAGAACCCTTTTTAATGTGTTTTCTCTCTCACCCATCCTCTCAACTCTAGCCCCACAGCATGGAACCACAGGTTACTCTAAATGTGACTTTCAAAAATGAAACTCAAAGCTTTCTGGTTTCCGACCCAGAAAATACAACTTGGGCTGATGTCGAAGCTATGGTGAGTGTTAGCCGTCCTTTAAGCCTAATTTTTCCAAAGGTAGCTGTTTTTAGCAATGTCGTTTCATAGCTATCATATTTACCTTTTCTAGGCATTTTGGAGAATTACTTTTGAGAGGGGTTCAATATTCATATAGGCAATATTCTCCCCCCCCCACACCAAGAGAATAAATAAACAAATTCTTTAATTTGCAGCTAGGACTTGGAAAGCCTGTTAATTTTGGAAACAGTCTGAGGAATGAATTGGTGTGGACCCCACCCTACACAGGCTCCAGGGAAATGTTCTCCTGCCTGAGAGCAGATATGTTACTGTGGTTTGTGAACCACTAAGGATATAACCTGTTTTGCAAGAGCTAATTGTTTTTCTTGCTAGGTCAGAGAACATGACTTGCTCAGTCGACAGAACATGACTCTTGATCTTGAGGTTGTGTGTTCAAGTGCCTAGTGGGGTGTTGAGATTGCTTAAAAATTTGTTTAAATCTTTTTTTTTTTTTAGAAAGATAAGGCATTTCTTTTTTTTTTTTAAATGTTTTTTATTTATTTCTAGGAGAGAGAGAGAGAGACAGCATGAGCAGGGGAGGGTCAGAGTGAGAGGGAGTCACAGACTGAAACAGGCTCCAGGCTCTGAGCTGGCAGTCAGCACAGAGCCCAACGCGGGGCTTGAACCCACGAACCGCGAGATCATGACCTAAGCGAAAGTCGGACGCTTAACCGACTAAGCCACTCAGGCGCCCCAAAAATTTGTTTAAATCTTAAAAAAAAAAAAAAGTTGAGCATGGGGCGCCTGGGTGGTTCAGTTGGATGAGCGTCCAACTTTGGCTCAGGTCATGATCTTATGGTTCATGGGTTTGAGCCCCATGTCAGGCTCTGTGCTGACAGCTCAAAGCCTAGAGCCTGTTTCAGATTATGTGTCTCTGTCTCTCTCTGCCCCTCCCCTCCTGTGCTCTCTCTCTCGAAAATAAATATTAAAAAAAAAAAAAAAGTTGCTTAACAGCTCATCTGTTTTTTAATATATTTTTTGTTTTATTTTTAAATTTTTTTAAATTTTTTTTAAATTTTTTTTTTTTTTTTTTTTACAAATAGTTTATTGTCAAGTTGGTTGCTCATCTGTTTTTTTGTTGTTGTCAGTACCTTCCCTCCTCTTGGTTTGCCCTTTGTACTCTTCTGGCTTTTGTTTGGTTTGCAGTAGTGAATGTTTTACTTCCTATATAACCATGTTTATCCAACGAAACCCTTTGGTAAAAACCTGCTTTTATTTGGTTATGTGGTATGATAACTAAAAAGGAAAAGAAATGGTGGAAAGTCTTCAGAAGTTCATACCTTTTAACCACCTTCACCCATTTCACCCACCTCCCACCCCATGCAACCACCAGTGTCCTGTCTGTATCTGTGAGTTCATTGTTGTTATTTCACTTACTCAGTACCCTTAAGGTCAGAAGGGTTTTTTTTGTTATTGTTGTTTTTCTTTTTACCATTATAAAATAAACTACAGGAGAGATCTCTTTGTCTATAAAACTTATGCACTGTTCTGTAAGGTAAAGTTTTCCAAAGAGAGATTAATGGGTCACAAGGCATGTGATTTTAAATTTTAATAGATACTGCCAGGTGCTTTGCAGAACAGTTGTAGCAAATGCAGAAATGTATGAAGTGCCCTGAATTTTGACAACGTTGGATGTTAGGCTTTAAAATTTTTTCACCATCTATTGAGATGACATCTCATTGCTTTAATTTGCATAATTGTGACTACCATTAAGGTTGAACATCTTTTCATATATTTGATAGGCACATTTGATCTCTCCTGAGTGAAATCTCTATACACTTACACCACTTTTACCTGGATTGTGTGTTAGTCTTAATGATGAGCAGTTTTGCAGATGATCTTTGTGTATTGCTGGTAATAACCCTTCGTTATGAGTTGCAAATATTTTCCCTATTTTTTGTCTTTTGACATGGTTTTCTTCTTTTATGCCATTTAAATGTCTAATTTTTTTAAGTTTATTTATTTATCTTGGGAGAGACCATAAGCGCACGTGCGTGTGCCAGTCGGGAGAGAGGGAGAGAGAGAATCTCAAGCAGGCTCCGCACCTGTCAGCATGGAGTCCAATGCGGGGCTTGAACCAACAAACTGTGAGATTACAACCTGAGCTAAACTCAAGAGTCAGATGCCTAACTGGCTGAGCAACCCAAGAGCCCCTAAATGTTTAATTTTTATGTAGTGAAACTATGCCCACCCTTTCTTTTATGACTTCTGGGTTTCTGTTACGATCTGCTTTTTTGATATCATGTATGTACATTTCATTTGCAGGTAAAAGTTTCATTTGATCTGAACACTATTCAGATAAAATACCTGGATGAGGAAAATGAAGAGGTAAAGTATATTAATGTACCCATGGCCAGGTGTCCAGATAGGGATCTTATTTCTCAAGAATGATGGGGGATTAAAAAGTTCAGACTAACACTTTTCTCATTTGTGTAGTGGTTTAAATGTACTTGATAATTGCATGTTCTTAGCCCACTGTGGAATCTGAGATGGAGTTGAGAAATAAGGACTAAACATCGAAGAAAGAAATTTGAGCGATAACTTTTAAAACTATGTAGTGATATAGTCCAAATATACCACAGCCTGCCATTTAGCTTATAATAACAAAAATGACAAACCTTTCTTTACTGATTGCAATGTGTCAGTCTAACAACAGTACTACATATTAGGTATTACACTATTATCTGAAGCCCAGAGAGGTTAAGTAACTTGCCCAGAGGCACAAAAGTTTAGAAATAGGAGAGAAGGGGTTTATCGCATACACTGTGACTCCAGAGCCTGTCTCTTAACCTCTATATTATGCTGCCTCTTAATGTACCTGAAATAAAGAAGGTTACAGGAGTTAAGCAATAAGTCCTTAATTATTATTCACAGTTAGTTCATGATACTAGAAAAGCTGAATCCCTAACCTGAGATTCTTCGTCTTATCTGTGAGGCTGGTCCTAGTAACAGAAATGTTCCAATGACCAGAGGTTTATAATTCGCTGTTGCTTTTGTCCTTTTACAGGTATCCATCAATAGTCAAGGTGAGTTCCTGAGAGAACCAGCTCAACTTTATTTAAAACCCTTAATCAGGGGATGCCTGGGTGGCTCAGTCGGCTGAGGAACCAACTCTTGATTTCGGCTCAGGTCGTGATCTCAGAGTTGTGGGATCAAACCTCTGATTGGGATTCTCTCTTTCCCTACCCTTCTCCCCAACCCATGCGTGCATGTGCACTCTCTTTCTGTCTCTCAAGAAAGAAATTTTCAAGCCCTAATCTGTTGATGGGTGTATGCGTTTCCATTTACACTCAGATCTTGCTGCAGTAAATTTAACATACAGTAAATTGACATCACACTCACTTATCCATGGCCATTAGTTACATAGCAGATTTTTATTTTATAAGAGTTTTTAATATATACATTAGTGCCTTTGATTGGACCCTAAGGACAACTTTAATGGAAGTTTCTCTTATATTTAAGATGTTAATATTTTGAAAATATGATTCCCAGTTAAACACATATAACTCTGTTTTCCTGATGCTGCCTTTATCCCTGATTTGGTATATATGTTAATGTCAACTTATAAACAAGTGGTATTCCTGAGTGTATTTCTAAGATGGTTTGGTTGTTCAGAGTTTGGAGTGCATTTTCCCATAGGACCAATGTTGCGTTTAAAGGCTAGGTCCCCAGGCTAGCCCCAAAAGCTGATTTTAACCAGCTGTAATGATAGAACAGGCATATAATTTTATTGCACTTCACTTTATTATGCTTTGAAGACACTGCATTTTTTAACAAACTGAAGATTTGTGGTAACCCTGAGTCACTTTTTCCATCAGCTTTTGTTTACTTTGTGTCACATTTTGGTAATCTCACAGTACTTGAAATTTTTTCGTTATTATCACGGGATGATCTGTTATCTTTGTTTATGACTTGACTGGCTAAAATCTCAAGACAATGGTTAGCATTCTTTAGCAATAAAGTGTTTTTTAATTAAGGTATGTACATTTTTTTAGATATAATGTTATTACATTGCTTGATAGATTGCAGATAGTGGAAACATAACTTTTATATGCACTGGGAAACCATAAAATTGATTTGACTTGTAGTTTCCTGGCATTTGCTTTATTGCAGGGGTCTGGAACCAAAACTGCAATTCATTTGAGGTCTGCCTGGGTTAACACTATCCATGAACTCCCGTGCGTTCCCAGTTTCACTAAACCTAGTAAATTGAGGTTTTTTTTAGCTGGAAGGCTCCAGTAGCAGAGAGCGAGAGATTGAAGAGGTAGAACTAATCTACAAGTGGCTTCTATTTGCAGTGGGACGGGAATGGATAAAGGCAGCATAAAGGCAGTAGCTGTTCATGTGTAAGGATTTTAAGCAAAAAATTCTTAGAAGTGAGGATTGGCTGTACTTAAATAATATCTTTTGGGGTGGTGAAGAAATAACACAGTATATATATTCTTTGTCTTTTTAGGAGAATATGAAGAAGCACTTAAGGTAATCGTTATTTTCATCTTACTTGCAAATAATTTTTAAAATACTTATTAACTAAAACTTGAACCTGAATGCCATTAGCCATGAGGGGATACTAATGAAACGCAACAAAAACAGATTTTTAGGGAGTTTATGATGAGTAGGGCATACCACTCAGCAAAAGGCAGCTCCTGATATAAAAGTTCTTTCTAGATCTTGTTCTCTCTCATTGTTGGTCTTGGTGTCATTGTCGTGGGATTTAAAAATAAAAAGAACTGTGTAGAATGATCCTTTCTGGTTCACATTTTTCATCTCCTTCCTTCACCTTGTTGTTTTTGTTTTTTTTAACTAGGCTTCCTGTCCAACATGGGGCTTGAACTCATGACCATGATATCAAGTCACATGCTCTACTGACGGAGCCAGCCAGGTGCTCCACCTCATTTCCTATAGAATGTTATAAAGTGGGAGCATTCAAGGCATAAACTAACCAGTTAACCATCTCTTGCTTGTCAATAATGAATCGGAGCATTTCTCAAAGTCACATCTTTAAGGTGTGCCCAGCTGTCCTTTCGTTACCACCTTTGTAATTAAGATTTTTCTTTAAAGTTTGACTATATCCTTCGGGTGCCTGGGTGGCTCATTCCGATATGACTCAGGTCATGATCTCATGGTCTGTAAGTTCCAGCCCCACATTGGGCTCTATGCTGACAGCTCTGAGCCTGGAGCCTGCTTCAGATTCTGTCTCCTCTCTCTTTTCCTCCCCTGCTCGCTCGCTCTCGCTCGCTCTCAGAAATAAACATTAAAAAAATTAAAGTTTGATTATCCTTTATGAACTTGTAGTCCACAACAAAACTCTTTTCCCTAATCACTTTTGGTCTAGGTGAGGGAAGGGCAAGATTTTTTAAACTGGGAGCTGGATTTACCCTTTCTGTTGCCTGGTTAAAATTACTGTTATGGGTGCAACCTGACTCAGCAGTTCAGCCAGCCGACTTGGTTTTTACTCAGAAATCCTTATTTACTAGCCAGTCTCTTGGTTTTGGACATTCGGGCCCTTCCCGGGTTTCTCTTAGTTGAGCTGCTCATCTCTTAGTTATCTCATGCTTCATACTTTCCTTCTTCTCCAGCTTTCATGTGCTCTTCTTATTTCCCCTTTGCTGTTAAGCTGTTGTAACTTGCTGTGCTCCACACCCTTTCACCCTTGTCCAGCTGGCTCTTCTCTTTCCCTGTTCTCAGAAGCTACAATAGTTTCACTAAAAAAGTCTTCTACGGGCTTCCAAACTTTTCTCCTTCCCACAATCCCTGTTTATCTATGCAGTCAGAAATCTCAGACCTCAGGAGAGTCTAGATGTTGTATAAGCCTGCCCTGTCTCAGGAAATAAGACTTTGTATACATTTTTACATAGTACTACCTGATAGTTAAGATTCCGTGTTTATATTTTAACACATTTCATTATAGTAATTTTTTTGAGCAATTTTGTTCACAGACTTTGCTATACATTTTGTTAAAAGCCTCTTGGCTTATGGTCTAGAACAAGGGCTGGCAACTAGCCAGTGGGCCAGCCATATGTTTTTATAAATACAGTTGTATTGGAACCCAGCCATGTCTATTACATATTGTCTGTGGCTGCTTTTGTGCAGACTTGAGCAGAAACCACATGGCCTGCAAGCCTCAAATATTTATTATGTGGCCTTTTAAGAAGATTTGCTGATTCTTAATCTTAATACTTTTTAAACTTTTTGGCCATAGAATGCGTTTTTGTTTTTTTTTTTTTATTTCTAGGAGAGAGAGAGAGAGAGACAGCGTGAGCAGGGGAGGGTCAGAGAGAGAGGGAGTCACAGACTGACACAGGCTCCAGGCTCTGAGCTGACAGTCAGCACAGAGCCCGACGCGGAGCTCGAACCCACGAACCACGAGATCATGACCTAAGTGAAAGTCGGACGCCTAACCAACTAAGCCACCCAGGCGCCCCTAGAATGCGGTTTTTAAATGGAAGCTTGGGGTACCTGGGTGGCTCGGTCTGTTAAGCATCTGACTTTGGTTTTGGGCTCAGGTGATGATCTCATGGTCCATGAGTTTGAGCCCTGCATCAAGCTGTTCTTACAGTTGGAGCCTGCTTGTGATTCCCTCCTTCCCTTCCCCCCCACTCTCTCTCTCTCTCTCTCTGCCTCTCGGCCCCTTCCCTGCCCACTCTCAAAATAAATAAACTTTTAAAAAATAAAATAAATGGAAGCTTAAGCCTACTGTATAAAAATAAAGAATAGTTCATCAAGGATGCCTGGGTGGCTCACTTGGTTGAGTGTCCAGTTCTTGGTTTTGGCTTGGGTCATGATCTCACGCTTTGTGGGATTGATCCCCATGTCAGGCTCTGTGCTAACAGCGCAGATCCTGCTTGGGATTCTCTCTCCCTCTCTGTGTCCTTCCCCTCTTTGTGTGCATGCTCTCTCTGTCTCTGTCTGTCTCTCTCTCTCTGTGTTAAAATAAATAAGTATTAAAAAAAAAAGCAGTTCTTCTTGTCACTGACTGACAAGTGGGGAGAGCTAGAAACTAATAGACTTGACCCCTGATCTCTTCATGGACACTGGAGTACCTTCCTAGAACCTCAAGTGCTCCTTGAAGTACTTTTCGAAATAGCATTTTTAAGATGTTCTTCAAAAAGAGGTGGCCATTCAAGTATGCTTTCTAAAATACTGTCCTTAATGGAAAAATAAATGCTTAATTATAGCATTTGGTTTTAAGTTTTTTGGGTTCTGGTAGTCTGGGATTGACTTTTTTGAAAAGTTAAGATTAAAATCCGTAAGTAGAGTCCTGAACATTTCACCTGGTAAAGTGCCACATTAAATGTACTTTTGTGTTTTAGATAATAAAACCATTTCTAGTTAACATTTTGGGAAATGAAACAGCAGGCTGACTAACATTGTATATGCCATTTGATTTAAGAAAATAAAGGTAAATCCTAATATTTTCAGCATAATTCACTCTACCTCTTCTGCTTAGATATCTTTGAAATTTCATTTGGGAAAGAATTGCACAGTATGTTTTTATTCCTAACGTGTGCTCTCAGATGGCGGTTAAGCAGGGCAACCAACTGCAGATGCAAGTCCACGAAGGCTCCCGGCTTGTGGATGAAACCCCACTCCCACCCATAGCAGAAAAACGACCAGTTGCGAGGGCAGGGAAGAAGCCACTTGCCCATTATTCTTCCCTGGTGAGAGTCTTAGGATCAGACATGAAGACCCCAGAGGAGCCTGCAACACAGGTATGAAGGGAATGGACTTGTCTCTACAGTTTTTCTAGCCTAATGTCTTTTTGTCCGTGGTCTAACATTTGAGCTGTCCCTCAAAAATTTGGGAGGTATGACTACCTCTGCCCGAGTTTTTGAAACTGGTAACTGGTTACTTACGAAGAGAGGGCAATAGGATGATATAGAGACTGTGTTTTCCTTTTATACTTCTTTGTAGTTTTTTTTTTAACCATACATTTGTATTATTTGACAAAAGAAAATTGTTATTTTTTTCTAAGTAGGCCTCATGCCCAGCTTGGGGCTTAAACTCATGACCTCAGGATCAAAAGTCACATGGTCTACCAACTGAGCCAGCCAGCACTCCAGAAAAATTATTTTAAACAGGGGGCCTGGCTGGGTCAGTCAGTAGACCACGTGGCTCTTGATCGCAGGATTGTGAGTTCGAGACCCATGTTGGGTGTAGAGATTACATTAAAAAATAAATAAATAAACCTCCAAGATCTTGGGTTGTGTTTCCTTGCAGCGGCTCCCACTTGCTCCCCATAATGCAGAGCAGCCTCAAGACAAGCCCCCAGACTGGTTCACGAGCTACCTGGAGACAGTGAGTGTTCTCTCTGGCTTGGGTTTTAGCAGCAGTGTTGGCACAGGAGGAGTGGGGGAGAAATAACAATCCGAACCCAGATGGCTGCTGCCTCTGGTGCAGGTGAATGAAGAGTGTTAACGGTTCCGGTCAGGAAACCTCGCTTCTACAGTGACTGACTGGAAAAAAGAGGGAACCAGACTCTAAAGATGTAAGGAAAAGGAACAAGCCTCTGTGCTTGAGAAGGAAGAGGTTAGAAGCTTACTCATCAAAACAATTTCTTGGTGTCTTCTTTGAACCAGTTTAGCTGTGGAAGAGAATAGTTCTTCTTCTGCCACCTTTTCTAGTAACTATCAGGCGTTTATTATGTTCTTATGCCATACCAGAAACAGGGAGGTACATGGTGTATTTGATATCTCCAGGCCTTTTTCCTGTGTTGGAACTAAGGTTTTCCCCTTTTCTGCTCTGTATTCTAGTTCAGAGAACAGGTGGTTAAAGAAACAGTTGAGAAACTGGAACAGAAATTACATGAGAAGCTTGTCCTCCAGAACCCGTCGTTGGGTTCCTGTCCCTCAGACATCTCCATGCCTATTTCAGAGGAAACACTGTTTTTGCCAGAAAACCAGTTCAACTGGCATATTGCTTGCAGCAGCTGCCAAAGGAGGATCTGTGGCGTGCGCTACCAGTGCAGGTAAAGTAACTTTGGAACGCATGGCTATCAGAAGACCTTTGAGCAGGCCTTCTGACATCCTGCATAGGTAAAGGTAAATTGCGTGTACTCTGTCTCTGCACATCACACATAGAGAGCAGCTCTAGGTTGGAAATAAGCTATTCTCCACCCACAAGAAGTATAACCATTTGAAGGGTAACTATTCAGACTGTTGCTGTGTTCAGATGTAAATTGAACCAACAGAACCAAAAGACGATGGGGAAAAAAAATGACTAACAGAGCCAGTCAAAGTTATGCTCCCCAAAACAAAATTATATCGCCAGGGATTATCTCCCTCCTCCCAAGCAGGAATCTTGCTTCCTCTCATAGATTGTCTTGTGAAATGGATACGTGTTAAGTCTATTAATCCTCATTTTATTAATAAGGAAACTAGAGACATGGCATGGCCAGGTGACATGCTTGGGTTACCACCTAGCTGGTAATAGAATCAGTGTAGAAGTCTCGTCTCCTGTCTCACCACCTCTGGTACTTCCCGCTTGCCATGTTTTGCCCACAGCCTCTGCCCATCCTACAATATCTGTGAAGATTGTGAATCGGGGCCGTATGCCCATGACTCCAACCACATCCTGCTGAAGTTGCGGAGACCTGTTGTGGGTTCTTCTGAAGCATTCTCTCACCCAAGGTTCTCCACCCCTCGTCTTCCTGCTGCTCTGGAACAAGCCAGGTAAAACCCTAAGTAAAGGAGGCTTATTCTCTGATGGGCATCTGGGTTCTGGTGATGGAGTGTGAATCACAAAAATGCAGACAGCCTCCTTAGTTCCTGTTCATTTCCAGTTGGTGTGTGATGAGGACAATTACCCAAAGCTAATAAGACAGAAATGAAAACTATAGAAAGAAGTTAGGCTAAAAACTGGCGCTGACAGAGGCTATAAGTGGTTCAAAATAGCTTTAAGCTTTGTTTGTGAGGTTTGTTTTATTTGACACTTTTTAATCTGTTACCTCACAGGCTCCAGAAACAGGTTGACAAGAACTTTCTTAAAGCAGAAAAGCAGAGGTTGCGAGCCGAGAAGAAACAGCGAAAGGCGGAGGTCAAGGAACTCAAAAAGCAGCTTAAGCTCCACAGGAAGATTCATCTGTGGAGTTCCATCCATGGACTCCAGAGCCCCAGGTCTCCATTGGGCCGACCCGAGAGCCTGCTGCAGTCAAACACCCTGATGTAAGCCTGGGCCCGGGTGGGCACCAAGGTGAAGGTCTGCCTTCCAAATCCAGAACTTCAGCCAGCTTTTCTTTTACTTATTGGCAGCCCCTAATACCCAAACTCTTAAAACTTCCCATTCTCTAATCCTAGCATTCTTTTTTTTTTTTTTTTTAAGTTTTACTTATTTTGAGATAGTGCAAGTGGGGGAAGGGCAGAGAAAGAGAATCCCAAGCAGGCTCCACACTGTCAGCACAGAGTCTGATGCGAGGCTTGAACTCATGAACTGTGAGATCTTGATGTGAGCCGATGTCAGACGCTTAACCTGCAGAGCCACCTAGGCACCTCTGACCCTAGTATTCTTACAGGGTGGTCTGGTGGTCATTGTTGACACTTGCTTCATTGCCTTCCTCAGAAAGACAGCAACCAGCAAGGTTCCAAACTGGCTGGTGTGACCTCTTGTCACTGGAGGCAGTTGGGATTTGAAGGACCTGACTCTCTAGTTCTGTTATTTATGGATCTTTATCCTCACCATAGTTTTTCAGCTCAGGTGTCACATCTGTCTTGTTTTTCAAAAATTTATAGAGGCACCTGGATGGCTCAGTCGGTTGGGCATCCAGCTCTTGAGTTCCGCTCAGGTCATGATCTCAGTTTGTTGTTTTTTTGTTTTTTGTTTTTTATGTTTTTTATTTCTGGAGAGAGACAGCGTGAGCAGGGGAGGGTCAGAGAGAGAGGAAGACACAGAATCTGAAGCAGGCTCCAGGCTCTGAGCTGGCTGTCAGCACAGAGCCTGATGTGGGGCTCGAACCCATAAACTGTGAGATCATGACCTGAGCCAGAGGCTCAGCCGACTGAGCCGCCCAGGCGCCCCTTGATCTCACTGTTTTGGAATTGAGCCCCAAGCCAGGTGCTGCTCTGACAGCGCTGAGCTTGCTTGGGATTCTAGTTTTTTTAAGGATTTTTTTTTCTTATTTAAGTAATATCTACATCCAGTATAGGACTCAGACTCCCAACCCCAAGATCAAGGGTTGCATGCTCTTCCAACTGAGCCAGCCAGGTGCCCGTAAAGATTTTATTTTTAAGTAATGTGTACCCAGCATGGGGCTCGAATCTACAACCCTGGGATCAGGAGTGTCGCATGTTCCACTAACTGAGCCAGCTGAGTGCCCGCTATTAGCATTATGTTTAAGGCAAATGCGTTATCACGTGAAGAGTCACTGTCAGCCTCTTGAACCACACAGTGCTAGATATTCTGAAGCCATTGTACCCACCACAAGTGACTACCTGAATTTCTGTGCAGGCTCCCTTCACAGCCATGTGCCCCAGTTATGCCAACCCTCAGTGCAGCGTTTGTGGATGAGAATTTGCCTGATGGGACTCACCTTCAGCCAGGAACCAAGTTTATCAAACACTGGAGGATGAAAAATACAGGAAACGTCAAGTGGAATGGAGACACAAAGGTATTTTTTCCCACACAGAATGTGAAGATGTGATTAGAAGTGGCAGTGCTCGGCTGACAAGCTTTCTCTTGTCACTGTTCTTTTCAGCTCAAGTTCATGTGGGGAAACCTAACTTTGGCTTCTACAGAAAAGAAGGATGTTCTGGTTCCCTGCCTGAAGGCCGGCCACGTGGGCGTTGTGTCCGTCGAGTTCATTGCCCCAGCCTTGGAGGGAACATACACTTCCCATTGGCGTCTTTCTCACAAAGGCCAGCAGTTTGGGCCTCGGGTCTGGTGCAGTATCATAGTGGATCCTTTCCCCTCCACAGAGAGCCCTGAGAACATTGCAAAGGGCATGATTAGCTCAAGCAAAGTTGATGCGCTCACTTGCCAGAAAGAGGTGAGCATTGGAAGGGGAAGCTCAAGCCAAAACAGCCCACTCGCAGTTAGTTATTACTCCAGACATCTGGGAAGCGTAGCTCCACCCCTCGCCCGCCCCCCAACATGTCAGTATGTTTATATTAGGCCTAGTCCTCAGGGGTTTTGTTTGCTTGTCCTTAGGATCTTGGTGCAGGCATCCCTCTGTGCTTTTGTATTTCGTTGTGACGATGTGTTGCCAGCCTCTGCCGCAGGAGGGAAGGCCTAGCCTGTGGAACTGCTGGACTGATGGTTTTGCTCCCTAACCCTTCTTTCTCCTGAATGTCCCACATATGTGTTCTCTAGCTGCTAATGAAGTCTTGCCCGTGTTTTTTAGTCAGTGCAGGTTTTTTAAGCAACCTCCCTTTATTAGCGTGTTACTGGTTTTTAGAGTATTTTACTGCTTAGATTTAGTTAACCAAAGTTACTGTCCTGCTCTTGACTGTCATCAACTATGGTTAATCTAACTTGTCATTCAGAGGGGGCGCCTGGGTGGCCTAGTCGGTTAGGTGTCCAACTTCAGCTTAGGTCATGACCTCATGGTTCGTGGGTTTGAGCCCAGCGTCGGGCTGTGTGCTGACAGCTAGCTCAGAGCCTGGAGTCTGCTTCAGATTCTGTGTCTCCCTCTCTTTCTGCCCCTCCTTCCTCACACTCTATATCTCTCAAAAGTAAATAAACATTGGAAAATTCTTAAAAAATTAAAAACTTAAAAAATAAAACATGTAGAGGTGCAGCAGTGCTTTGGTTTTTAGGGAGGCAGCTACCCACCTTACCTTTTGTGTTCAGCTGAGGGCCTAACATTTGTCCCAATGGTTTGTCTGCATAGGAAGCTTTTCTTCTGGCCAAAGAAGAAATTCAGCCTGATGAAGTAGCTGAGCAGTCCCAAGGGACAGGAACCTGCATCCCACAGAAGACAAAAAATGTTGCCAGTGAGAGGGAGCTCTATATCCCCTCCGTGGACCTACTGACTGCCCAGGTGGGAGACTGAGTGGGGGAAAAGAGACAGAAGGCAGTGGAAAAAGAGCCCCTACCCCATTGAGGAGAAGGTGGTATGACTACAGGCAGTGCCCAGCAAGTTAGCCATGTGCCCACTTCAGTCCATTCAGATGCACATAGTGGGAAGGAGGTCACCTGTGGAAGGAGGCCTCTGAACTACATGTTTCCTTTCTGAGTGGGGAACTCAGTCTTGTGCTTCCCCGCAGCTTCCCTTCAGTTGTCTTTCCACTTGTGCTTCTCTGGTTCATTTTCACCCCCATTGCATTTTCACTCTCCCATGCCACTTCGTTATTTGAACACCTAGCTCCCATTTCACTCTCCTTGATTTCACTTGACTGAGGCGAGGCATGAACAGAGTCCCGGAAGGTGTGATGCCCTTTGGCCTACAAGTGCCAGCAAGGCAAAACATTGCTCCAGCCCCCACTGCCAGTAGCCTGACATTGCCCTTTTTTCCTCTAGGACCTGCTGTCCTTTGAGCTGCTGGATATAAACATTGTCCAAGAGTTGGAAAGAGTGCCCCACAATACTCCCGTGGGTAAGAATGTCATTCAACCCATATTGTTTGTTTTATTAACAGACACAAAAGTGCTGCACTCCAGGCTCAGGTAGGTAGTGTCTTATTCTGAGGAAATAGATGACAAGGATTTCTCCCACCATGTGACATTAAAATTGCACCCATGGATCCATGTCCCTTCTTTTTTCTGTTGTCTGTCAGAGTCAACAATACATGGTGGTGTAAGACTTTCCCACAAAAAAGGGGACTCTTGGGGCGCTTGGCTTCCCAGTCGGTGGAACATGAGGTTCTCAGTCTCGAGGTTGTGAGTTTGAGCCCCACACTGGGTGTAGAGTTCACTTAAAAATAAAATCTTTAAAAAGTAAGGTGGGGGGAGCCCTCTTCTCCATTTTTCTCTAAACATTATGTCCTTTTTTCCCTTTATATTCCTGGTTCTGTGTCTGGGCCATGATTTTTAAGGCCAGATGACTTGAGCTCTCCTGCATTCACTGACTTGAGATACTTCACACCTGATGGCCTAGAGAATTTCTTCACAACAGGCCTTGAAGCCTACCTAGATTTATTTTAGCCCCGCAGGAGACAAGAAGTCTGTGAGCTGCTGCTTCTGGTCTCTGTTGATGATGTGATGCTTTTTCTTGGTTGATGATTTTTTTCTGTCTTTGTTGTGCAGATATGACTCCCTGCATGTCTCCTCTGCCGCATGACAATCCTCTAATAGAGAAGCCAGGCTTGGGGCAGATACAGGAAGAGAGCGAAGGGGCAGGATTTAAAGCGCTTCCTGGTAGGGGCTTCAATATTTGTAAAGTATTTGCATTGTCCCCTTCAGTGTTATACCCTTTTCACACATACTCCCCACTGACCTTCCCGTGGCACAGATAGCCACAGCTGTTCCTTGGCACGATGTCAGCATGGGAACGTGAGTGCAGGAAGCTCCTCAACACCAAGTGCAGATAGGCTTTGTCTTTCAGATCCCACAGCATCAGTAAAGAGGAAGGCTGAAAACATCGCCTCACTGGAGGAAGCAGAAGATGACCTGAGTGGGACCCAATTTGTGTGTGAGACAGTAATCCGATCCCTTACCTTGGATGCTGCCCCAGATCACAGACCACCTTGCAGACAGAAGTCCCCACACAGTGAGTGTCCCCGGGTTCCCCCAGCTAGCTGGACGGTGCTTGAATTGTGGCCACCTGACCAGGGCAGGAAAAAGCGCTCTTCCTCACTGACAGTGGAGGTTCGGTGATCTTTGTTAGAATTCAGATCATGGTGGTTTTTTAGACTCCACACGCTCTACCTGCCCATTTTAATTATAGCCTCAAGAGCAAAGCAGCCACCGTAAGTCATGTTCACACTTTCTCAGGGGCAAAATCACAGCTGCACAACGCAGAGGAACAGCAACCGCTTGTGCTGCCTGGACTCTGCCATGAGGAGTCTTTCTGTAAGTGGACAGCGCTCCTCTGCAGAGACCTCCATTGGCAGCTGGAGGCAGGCCTTTCTCCAAGGACACAGGCCAGGAAGTAGCGGGTAGAAGAAAGGGTACCAAACCAAGTTTCGCAAAGTTATATTCTGTTGTGATTCATTTTCTTTACAGCAGATATTTCTAGATCAGATATGTAGAGCCCATACTGTATATTTTAAGAACTATCCAGAAATTCAAATTCTAGAGCTTCAAAATAATGTGGGAAAATCTCTTGTGTTTTTTATAATGAAATTTGACCTATACCTTCAAATATTTTTATTCTCGTTTTGTTTAAAACGTGCGCGCGTGGGCACACACAGGAAGGTAGACAGGGGATGTGCTAAAAAGTAGGTGATGGGGATTGAGGGCACGTGTTGTGTCAACCACTGGGTGTTATGTGTAAGTGAGGAATCAATAAATTCTACTGAACCCAATATTACGCTGTAAGCTAACTAGGAAGGGTAATATAAAATAAAGCTGAAACTGACTAAATAAATAGATAAATAAATAGAAATAAAATACACAACACTTATTTCACCCACATACACTTACATACAAATGCATAACTCAAACATCTGGAAGGACTTACACCAAAGGTTCCCAGTAGTTATCTCTGATAGGATTATAGGTATCTTTTCTTCCCCTCATCCATGTTTTGCCAGTTTTCTACCATGACTACCCATTACTTTGCAAAGAAAGGGAGGAAAGTAGGCACACAGTCCAGTGGCACTCCCCACCTACCATTTTCTCTTGTTAGAGCACCAGTAGCTAGGATATCAGTTTTGACTTGTTTTTAGGATTCATGGTGCTTCTCAGAAGCCTTGATGTTTTTACATACCTTGTTGTTAAGAGCTTCGGTTCTTCCTGGCTTTGCACAGGCTTCAGACTTAGAATGTGGCCATAACTGAGGCTCTTCCCTCTGGCTCATCCTCATCCTCTGGCTTTCATGATTGTAGCCCATGACCCACAAGGCTTTATCAGGTAAAGGCAGCACCAGGGGCTGACTTCTAGCTGTAGCTGAAAATCAGTTGCTTTTATCCTTTAGTGAAATTTGCCTCCCCTGAAGAGGGACCACTTGAAGATGAGCAGGAAGAGGTTGTCCATGTCGCTGAAGAAGCTGTCGTGGAGGAGCAAGTGGAGGAAGAGGAGGAGGAGGAGGATGAGCTCAAAGATGAAGTTCAGAGTCAGTCCTCTACTTCTTCAGAGGATTATATCATCATCCTGCCTGAGTGCTTTGATACCAGCCGCCCCCTGGGGGACTCCATGTACAGCTCTGCGCTCTCACAGCCAGGCCTGGAGCGTGGGGCTGAAGGGGAAGCTGGGGTTGAGGCTGGGGAGAGGCTCGCTGGAGGGGAGAACCAGCCACAGGGACAGAGCATCAACGACATCCTCATGACCTCACAGACTCTGGACACCGTGCCCCTAACCCCAGAGGTGGTGGGGCCTCCACCACAGCTGCCCAGGTACCATCCACACCCCTCTAAGCTGGGCTGTTCTTCACAGGTGGAATAGAGAGGAAAGGACTCCATCACAAAACCTGTTTTTTTGTCAGCATGGGAAGAGACTTTCCTATAAACGTCTGAATTTAGATGAATAAAAGTTGTATTTCCCAGAATTTGTGGATTCTGGATTTAAAGAAATGCTTGTTTTAGTTAATTATCTGAGTACAGTCTATTTACGTCTTGGTCATTGAGAGCCAGTTTTTAAACACAAACATCCCTGGATCTTCTTTGGCCATTCTGTTGACTCGTGGGTGAAGGCAGGCAAAACTTATTTTCCTGTTACCCAGAGTGTGGTAGGAAGCTTAATCTATTATGGAAAAAATACACCCTAAAATCAGAAAACAGTGATTTTTAATTATCTGTTCATCTGTGTCATTGCTCCATCATAGTAATGGTGGAGCCTTGACTGTAATTTAAACCACTCTCTCAGGGAGGTAGGCATTTCCCTTTTATCAGTACCACTTGGTGTAGGGGGTGGTAACCTGACTGAAGCTGGTCTTTGTAGCTTGACTGTGGCTGAAGAGGAAACCCAGAAGTAGAATGAGCCCTTTCCACCTGATCCCTAAATTCAGACAGGAGACCTGGATCAGAAATGTGAAGCATCTGCAGGGAATCGGGCACTGCTGTGCCACGTTTACTGTTTCTCCGCCGTTCCCGTAGGTGTCTTTTCAACTGACTTTCAGTATTGTGTCTTTCCGAAAGGAGCCCTCCTTGTGCACAGCACGATGGTTCCCCAGGAGTGGATTTACCAGTTACCATACCAGAAGTTTCTTCAGTCCCTGATCAGATCAAAGGAGGTAATGACCAGCCTGAGCTTTATATCCTTTTCTGTGCTCCTTTCTAATGAAACCAGGTATAAAGGACCACCATGTCTCTGTGACTCTTGGCATTATTTGGCAACTTTGCCCTTTCTTTCTCTCTGTGCCCCTCCCTCATACTGTTTTCTATTCTCTAGCAAATATTCTTAATATTCATGAAGTGAGACCTCACAGAGGTGGGCATTGTGCTGCAGTGGGAACACAGGCTGTGGAGCTCAACCAGGCTAGATTCCAGGCCCAGCTCCACCTTTCCTCCCTGTGGGACCTTGCAGCAGGTCAGCACGTTCGTACCACCTGCGAGGCTGTTTTCTAAGACAACAGTACCTTGACGTTGCTAGTAGACTTTTCCACTCTTCCTCAAAAAACAAAACTTAAAAGTACTGAAAAATTAATAAATGGGTGATTAGATTATAGATTTTTCTGATTCAATAAGCAGTCACCTTGCATTGCATTCTGGACGGTCCACCTTTATCATAAAACCACCTGCAAAATTTCCCAAATTGTAAAAAAAAAAAAAAACAACACCTAAATGCTGAGATCAGATTGCTGCCTGCCTCCCAAAAATAGCTTCATTCTGAGTTAGGAAACACTAGGCACCTGTGGACGCTATGTCTAACCAGCAGCTCTTTTGCTTTTAGAGCCCAGAGGCTCATCAGGACTTGTAAACAGCAGACAGAAGAGCTATGACCACTCAAGGTAACTGGACCTTGTGCAGCCTCTTCTTCAGAAGCAGGTGGATGTCCCAGTATTGCTTCTGCTTAAGCCTCTCAAAGCATGTGCCACCTCCAGAGAGCTGAGGAGAGCCATCATTCCTCCTTTTTTCTCCTGAAGCTTGTGAGCAACACAGAACAGAGGGCTAAACTTACCTTTCAGAGTGTTCATCTTCCAGACCAGTGCCGTCAAGTTCAACTCACCCTTAGTACCAGAGGAGAAGGCAGGAAAGTCAAGCCCACTGTGCATCTTAGTAACAGTTTCTTAGACCTACCTGCCTCTGTGCTCCCAGTCAGCTCAGAGCAGCGGCACGCTGGGCTCCTCCCTACAGTTCGCAGAAAAGCACATTGCCTTTGGAGGTGTTTCCTCTGAGATGGTAATTGGGCGGACAGACTACCTATACTCCTCTGTGCCCTTGACCACGTAATTTTCAGCTGGGATGGAAAGCTGGCATACTAACCAGAGGGGTGTGTTTTCGGCCCGCCCTTGTCTTGCAGCAGTAGAACCGGGCTCTACATCAAACCAAGATTTGTAGCTCTGAAACTAATAGGAAGATGATCACATCCTCTTTTTACATCTGACTTTCTGAAAGAAACCCATTTCCTTTCAAGGATTAGAGCCCAGATTATCTTGTAGGAAGATAATAGTTTGTGGTTTTTTAGGGAAGTCATTTGGTTTCCCTCTCCAGGCACCACCACCATGGGAGCGGCATTGCTGGAGGACTGGTGAAGGGGGCTTTGTCTGTTGCTGCTTCTGCATACAAGGCCTTGTTTGCCGGGCCGCCCGTCACTGCCCAGGTCAGTGTATGTTTTATTTTCCCGTAGCAAAGCTAAGTCCCCAGTGAAAATGATGCTGCCTGTCTGGGTTGAAGAGTAGTATAGGATTCTGCCACCTTCTAGCTAAATGACTTTAGCCAAGATACCCAAGGGAGGAAAGGAAAAAGATCTAGTGTTGAGGACCTGTCATGTGTGGGAAGCTCTTCCAAGTACCAGCACTACAAGGTGAAGAAGACACCAGTCCCTGCCCAAAGACGGGGGAACAAGCAAGGTACACAGAGTTCTGCAGTGCAGTGTAAGATCTCATGCCGGTGGTCACGGGTCGGACATCTTAAGTATTTGCCAGGAAAGAAGAATAGAGAGAGCATTACAGACATTGCAGACAGTAAAAAAGACTTGAAACGTGACTCTGAAATGTGAATTTAGGCTGGGAAGAAAAGACCAACAGAGCAGGTGGGGTGGTCTGTTAAGTGGTTTGGGTGTTACTTTAAGGCTAATGGGAGGAGCCAGTGAATGGGTTTTAGGGAAATAATTAACATCAGATTTGTACCTAGGGAGAGAACTCCACTCTAGTGTAGAAGTTGGGGGAGCCCTAGAGAAATCCAGGGGCACCTGGGTGCTTCAGTCAGTTAAGTGTCCAACTTCAGCTCAGGTCATGATCTCACAGTTCGTGAGTTTGAATCCCATGTCAGACTCTGTGCTGACTGACAGCTCAGAGCCTGGAGCCTGCTTCAGATTCTGTGTCTCCCTCTCTCTCTGCCCCTCCCCTGCTCCTGCTCCCTCTCTCCTTCAAGAATAAGTAAACATTTAAAAAGAAATTTTTTTAAGAAATCCATTTGAGGGGCTCCTGGGTGGCTCAGTCAGTTAAGTGTCCAACTCTTGATTTCAGCTCACATCATGATCTCATGGTCTGTAAGATCAAGCCCCATATAGGGCTGCGAACTGACAGCACAGAACTTACTTGGGATTCTCTCTCTCCCTCTCTCCCTCAAAATAAATGAATTAAAAAAAAAAAACATTTGAGAATCCATGTGTAGATGGAAAAGAGGGGTAAAAGAGAAATGGCAGAACTCGAAGACCATGATTAAGAGGCTAGAAAGAAGTCAAAGAGGAATCCCATGTTTCTGGCTTTAGGCAATCAATAGTACCATTCATTAGGATTTATAAGAAGGATAGATTTGGGCAGGGGGAGAAGAAAATTAGGTACATTTTGCATGGTGTGGAATTTGAGACATGTCCAGGTAAAGTTACCCAGATTACAGTTGGGCATATGCACGTGGCCCACAGAGGAGAGATTTGGCCTGGAAGTAAAGTTACTCATACAGGTTATAGCAGAAGCCATGTGATTAGGTGAGAATTTCCAGGAAAAAGGGGTGTAAAGCAGGAAGCAGCCTTTAAGGATCCTGGAAAGGAGGGGCCTGCAGAGACGGAGAATTAGGAGGAAAATGAGAGTTCTGTGCTGGGGCTCAGGGAAGGGAGCTTTAATGAAGAGGATGTTGTGACCAGTGCTGCAGAGAACAGGGACCGAGTGGAGAGGACTTGGAGAGTGCAAGTACGCCTCACTTTCAAGTAGCTGGGCCACAAAGCGGGGGAGAGCCAAAGCTAGGACACATAAGGCAGAGGGAAATGTTTCTACGGTTGGGCAAGCCAGTGGTAAAGAAGGTTAGCAGTCAAGATGAGAGAGGATAAGGGGCACCTGGGTGGCTCAGTTAGTTGAGTGTCTGGCTCTTGATTTCGGCTCAGGTCATGATCCCAGGGTCACCGGATTGAGCCCCATGTCAGGCTCCTTGCTGAGTGTAGAACCTGCTTGGGATTCTCCCTCCCTCTCTCTTTGTCTCTCCCTCTCTCTCTCCCCCCACCTTTCTCCCTCCCTCTCCTGCCCCACTTCTCCTCCTGCACGTTTTTTCTCTTTCTCTAAAGGCAAAACAATAATAAAAAGGTGAGAGAGGATAATTCATAGAGATTTCAGAGATAGTGAATGGTAATGAGATAGCAAGCAAAGTATATGTGAAAGGATTAACGTGGAAAGAAGACTGAATAATTTGTTTTGAAATAAAAAGGAAGGAAGAGAAGTTAAATAAAAGGGTTAGGTGTAGAGAGAAATGCCAGAGACTGTGCTCAACATGCTTACACACTTTCTTCTTAATCCTCTCAACCCTGCAAAATAAGGAGGTATTTTATATCTCCGTTTTTTTACATAAGATAATTAGTTGGTAGTCAACAGGGTGCCAGGATGGCTCAGTCAGTTGAGCTCCAACTTCAGTTCGGGTCATGATCTCACAGTTTGTGAGTTCGAGCCCCACGTCGGGCTCTGTGCTGACAGCTCAGAGCCTGGAGCCTGCTTCAGATTCTGTGTCTCCCTCTCTGTCTAATCCTCCCCCACTCATGTTTTGTTTCTCTCTCTCTCTCAAAAATAAATTAAAAAAAAAAATTGGTAGTTAACATAGTTGGTAAGTAAATGGTAAGCATTAGAGTGATCCAAAGTGTTAGGATTTAAGAAGGGTATGTGTCCACCACAGAGCTTGACCTAAAGGAGGAGGTAAATGAATGTTAGTTCCCTCTTTTGTGGATTGCTTCTGTTCTGTTAAAAAGGAGAAAAATGCCAAGAAAGTCACCCAAGATGTAATTTCCCAAGCAGTTTTTTGTTCAGCTCCTTTGCATATCTGACCACACCCTCTTCCAATAACAGCCTCTGCTTCTGCTTAATACTTGTCCCATCACCACAATTATCTTTGTCTTCACAGTGTTTTCCAGTGCTTGTGTGCATCTTTCCCTTCATCAGGCCAAAGAATGCTTCCTTCAGAAAGCCCCCTCCAAAGCATCCTCCTCCCGGTTCTGAGGACAGTTCATTAGTTGCTCGAGATGCCGAATCTAGAGCAGGGCGTTCCCAGTCCTCCCTCAGAAAGTCCGTTAGTGTCAGGTGGACAGGAGCACCATACCCTTGTATTGAATTTCCTAATATTTTAAAAAAATCTGGAAAGATCCGTATGATTTACAAGATAATAACAATTTACAAGACACATAAATGATACAGAAAATGTTCTGCTTTTCTTGATTCTACACAGCCAGTAGTTTCTGAAGATCAAACAGCAGCCCTGATGGCCCATCTCTTTGAAATGGGATTCTGTGACAGGCAGCTGAACCTAAGGCTGCTGAAGAAATACAATCACAACATCCTGCAGGTTGTGACAGAACTGCTTCAGGTCAACAACAATGACTGGTACAGCCACCGCTACTGAGGAGTGACCTTGTATTAAATAACTTTGCCTGCTGCTCAGAGATGATCTTTATTCTGTCCGTGGGGCATGGGGGAGAATCCCTTGCTTATTTTTTAATCTGATGAATCTATCTAGAGCCCATCATTAAGCTATCAAGACAGCACCTGCATTACAGTATTTTTTTGGAGCAAATCAAAGACCGGAACTTAAACAGAGACCTTGAACGAGTTGTAGGAAAAACGGTTTTTCAGTTGATTTGGATAAAGCTCCTTTTCTCCATTTTAGTGCATTGAAGAGTATAACTTGAACTTTCTATAGAACTGTTTTTTTCTTTCTGCTTGTATTGAAGTTGAGTATTTTTCTTTGGTTAAATGTGGATGTTTCTATGGGGATATCTGTTGGCAGTTTTAAAAAGAAATTAACCTTGGAAGTTGTTTTCAAGAATTCTTAACATTTTTTCTAGCCTGCCCCAAGTCTCAGAGCTGTACGGTATCGAAATGACACCCAGAGCCCCAAAGGAATGGTGTTACTCTTCCTTTCTCAAGGACAAAGTCCTTTCCCTTGCAGGACTGAGTAATGGGCCACTGTTGCCTAAGGACACCACTGGTACATTCAAGAAGATCCACCTTCTGGGTCTCTGCACTTCAGTGAAAGGAGGAAGGGAGTGTGCTTCTTAACCTACCAGCACCTACTGAGCAGTGTTTACTGTAGTAGTTTTGCATACAACTTTTATTTAAGGGAACAAATTTAGGTAGTGTGAAAAATTTTGCTAATCCTCTAGAGGAGGAGAAAACTTGTGTATTAAAGGGAAAGTAAACGTAACGATTACCATTTTTCTTAATGTCAAGGCAGATGTTCTTTACAGCCAAGTGAGGGGAGATAGAAACATGAAAAGTGAAAGGCAGGGTCCTGCATTAATCTCTGTAAAGTTAGGTCAGGGACAGGCAAATGTGTGTGCGAGGCGTAGGAGATCCTAACGATTTCCTGAATGTCTGAAATCTGCTCAAAGGTATCTAGAACAGGAGGAGGCTGTTTTGCAAAACGTGGATGGGGGCAAATTCTGAAAAAGTTTTGGTTTAACCCCAAAATGAATGAGAAAGCTTGTTGCCAGGGGCCCAGGTCCTCATTCTGTTTACAGAAAAGGAGTCTTCGATACAATGGGTGAAGGAAAAGGTAACAGAAAACACTAAAAGCTAGTATTCATGAAAATGACTTCCAGAAAAAGACTTACCCTCATCCGGAAGGGGGAAGGGGTAGTAAACTAGTATTATTTAACCTGGTTGGTATTTATAATGAATGGTGATGTTAATTAATCATTAGCCATCATGATGTTTATTTACAATATAATTCTTGACCTATTCAATAAACCAAAATTCAGACTGCAAGCCAACCAGGCTGTTCATTATTTAAAACGTTTTTATCCGGGCTTCGGGGTAGAGGCTGAGCTGCAGGGTGTATGTGATTAATTGGTTGATACCCGGTGAGACCTGTTCTGACCTCATGAGTCATACTGTAGAGGTCCAGTCGGCCGTCCGGTTGTACTTGCACATAACCGTTTAAAGAATGGTGGAATAAAGGTTCTTTGAAAGACCTATCTGGGTTGGCTGGTACTTGAGAAAGCAGCGTCTGAGACGTGGAGTGATCTTTAAAGAGCCGGGCGCTTCTCCGGCAGCCTGTGGGGAGGGGGCGGGCCCCGGGGGGGGGCGGGCCCGGAGGAGCTAGGGCGGAGCCTCTCCAGGCACGCGGTGATAGCTTGGGGTGAGTCCCTGGGCTGGCACTTTCGATTCTGCTTGCAGCGGTTGCTGTCGTCCGGGGGTGGGGTAAGGCGCTCCCAGACCCTCCTTCCTTTCTATCCCCTTTGGGAGGCGAGGGTCGAGGGACCTTGTGTGCCTCCTAACCTCACGCAGGCACTCGCGTGTAACAGGCTCGACTAACGGCCTCAGGGTGTCTGGCGGGACTTGAAATTCTCCAAAGAAGTCCCAGCTTCTGCGGCCTCCCCAACTCGGGGCCCCTGTCTGAGCCCCGGAATAGGGCAGGAAGCGGCTTAGCCCTCTGAGGAGGCCGAGGTCGCTGCTCCCCTCCTCCCTCCAACGTGCCCTATTTTGCACCCCCAGACCTCTGCTGAAGGGGGCCACTAGCCTGGGCAGCCCCAGCCGTGGCCCCTCGGGTCACCTTACCCTACAAGCCCTTCTCCCCAAACACCATTCTAGAAATCTCACTCTTGGCTGACAGGAGCCCTGGATCCCAGACCTGAACCAGGTGAGGCTGTCTTGATTTTTAGCCCAGTAAGGTCTGAATGCAGCTCACCTTGCCCACCCATTCCGCCACCACTCCTGAGCCTTTGGGGAAGGATCTGGATTGTTAGCCATTACCATTCCTTAGTGAAGGATAGACCCTGACCATTGCCCCCACTCTTCCGCAGCATTCTCTCCTACGCCACAGAAAGCAGTGAGGAAGAGGTTTCTGCTTGCTTCCAGGGCTATTTTAAGGTTCTTAGCCACACCTGTGACCAGCCTAGCCTCTCTCTTGTTTCAAAGAATCCCTGCCTTCCTATTAAGCCAGCACCTGCCCCGGACAGCAATGGAAGCTTTCCTTCCAAGCCCAAGCTAGATCTCAGGCATTTCTGCCCGGGTGTTCTAGACACCTCTTCACAGTCCTCTTGCTACAGAGGGTGAAGAGACTCTGACTGCTGCCTCCCTCCACCACACCCCCAACCCCAGCCCTGTCCACTTCCTTCCCTTGAAGAAAATGACAGCTCAGCAACTTTCCCAGAAAAACAATTCAGTGCTCTGCTATTCACTTCTGGAAATCTCTTCCAGTGAAATAACTTCTGGTTTTCTCTTCCCTCTTGCAGGCAGATTGAGCTCCCCTGCAGCAATGAAGGGAAAGACACTGCGATTTCTGATGGGGGAGTCCCATGTAACTGCTCAGTTTTCTGTCTCTTAGCTTCCTTGGGCTGGAGCTTGCTGACATTGTGGTGGCACTCCTTGCCAATCCTGAGAACCCAAAACCAGAGTTACCCGCAGTGTCCGTGCTGACAAGCTTAGCACTGAATTCTGTTCTTTTCTTGTTAGTGAAAACTCCCCCTGAATGATGGGTGAGACGTTCTCCCAGTTGGGTTCTCGGGAGGATGAGAACAAGTCGATCCTGGCCCCCAGCCCAGCCATGGGCAGCAAGGCTGCCTGCTACTCCAGCATCCCATGCAGCAAGTCTTTCTGTTCCTGCCTGCCTCGTGAAGGAACTGCCGGCGCCAGCTTTGTGACTTGTCCCACCTGCCAGGGCAGCGGGGAGATCCCGACAGGTGAGTGGTCTGAGGCTTTGGAAATGGCCTGGAATCCAGAACAAAAGCTCTTAGCAGCCAGCTGGTCAGGCCCCCCCTGAGCCTCCTTGAATGGGGTTGGGTGTCCCAGCTCTTGCCCCCTCCCACCCATTCACATCCCCCCCCCCCCCCAGTTGCAGCTGGGTCAGCAAGAAGCTAACTCTCCCTGGGCTCACTGCAGAGACACCCACCCCCGCCCCTCCTGCCCTGGCTGTTCTCCCTGGCCCAGGGAGTCTCCTGCCTCCCCACTCCCTGAGCAACACTGAGCCTTAGGACTCAGGAAGTTAACAAATGACCTCTCCAAAGAAGCTAGGCTTCTCTCATTTGCTGGCGCCTGACAGAAATCCACACCTGTTCATGTAAAGCTCACTTCCATTCCAGAGATGGCAAAGCTGAGCTGCCAGCACCTGCCCAGCGTTCCCAGTCCTGCCGTGGGGGCAGAGGTGGCATGCTTCCCACACTGCTCTGTGGGGTGGAGGGGTGCATCTGGAAGGCAGGAACAGGAAACCTTTGTCACAAATACTTCCTGGCCCTCCCTCTTACCTTCTTTCTCTCTACAGAGCTGGAGAAGCAGCTAGTGGCCCTCATCCCCTATGGGGACCAGAGGCTGAAGCCCAGGCACACGTAAGCCCCTCTTCTCCCCTCCGCTCCACAGGACATCACCCTGGGGGCTGTTCTCTTTGCCTCCCCCTTCTGTCTCTCCCTGCGATTTTTCTCCATTGGTTCTCCCCCAAGAAAGCCTCACTGGGTTCATACGTACTAGTGCATTTCCAGAGATTTTCCTGGTTTCAGAATGGGGCACAGCGGAAGCCACCTGAGGGTGCTTGGTGTCCTTCTTCACAGTTTTCATGCTTCCAAGAAGCATGGCTCCCTGGTGAAAACAGAGGATCTCTCAACTCCGCAAGGCCTTTCAGGATGGAAGGAGGGGCCCTGGCTGAAATTTGTTTGGGGAAATCATTTTTCCTAAGAGCCTCCCTTCCTGCAGCAGTTCTGAGCTGCTTGGTCTCTTCCCAGCTGAGCTGGAAACCTTGCTACTCCCTGTTCTGAGATGCTTCAGAATCTCAGAGGCAGCCCTGAGTTTCACTGGGGGTGTGATCACCCTGTTTGTCTCCTAAGTCTCTTTGGTATGAGTCCCTGCAGCCTCTTCCCGAGTCTCTCAGCTTCCGTCTGGGAGCCACCCCACCCCCTGCCCTCCCTGACCACTACACCAGAATCTGAATCTGGCAGCACCCTCCATAAGATACTAATAAGGTGCTGTCCCCTTAATACATATCTCAATTTTGAATCAGATGGACAGATGATGTCCTGTTCTGAATTTTCATATTCAGATTCAGTTAAATTCATGTGGACATTTCTTCCATTGATGCTAGCTAGCATTTGCTGAGCTTTTGTTAGGTGCCAGGACCTTGCCTTAACAAATTCTGTGAGGTGGGTACACTTCTTTCCATTTTACAGACGAGGAAACTGAGGCTTCAGGTGGTTAGGTGGCTTGCTTGGATTTACTGGGCCAGTGGGTACAGAGAGCTGGGAATGGAAGTCAGGCCACCTGCCTCCCAATCCTCTGCTCCGACTCACTTCGGGCCACATCTGAACCTGGGCTGGTCCTTCACATCTGGGTCAGGGGTAAATTTACAGTTGTGAGGGGGTTAGTGCAGGGGAGAGCTTTGTCTATGGAGAGGAGTGTCTGAACAGCCCTCTGCTCAAGCTTCCTTGGTGTTCTGACCTCTCCACTCCCCTTCCCCTTGTCTTCCCTTCCCACAGGAAGCTCTTCGTGTTCCTGGCAGTGCTCACCTGCCTTGTGACCTCCTCCCTCATCGTCTTTTTCCTGTTTCCCCGGCCTATCTCCGTGCAGCCTGCGGGTCTCAACTCCTCCACCGTGGCCTTTGATGCGTCTGGTATCAACCTCACCATAACGGTGGGTGGATGCTTGTGCCCCTGGGCTCAACCTCACTTCAATGGCAACTCTTCTCTAGAGCGCTTATCTGGTGGTGCAATCTGGGGCACAGGTAGCCAGGAATTTTATGATGCCCAGCGGGTGTGGAGGGCTGGGGAGAAGCAGGGGAAACCACAAGCCCCATAACAGATTGTGCAGGATTGTGACTGTACACAGCGAATGGTCAGAATCGGGACCAGAGGAAAAAAACACAGCCAGGGGCATGCCTGAGACTCCCGGGGGAGGGGAGCATAGAACTGAAGAGACTGAAGAGAGAGAAACCTCCTGTGCCAACTTAATGTCTTCCAGTGACCCTTTGCCAGTAAGAGCTCCTCCAAGGGGCTCCTGGCATGTAGTGGGAGTGGTCAGCCAGGCCTGGGCGTTTTGGAAGCTATTTGACCTCTCCTTTCAAAGGATGGTCACCCTCTCACTTCCCTTTTCCTTCTCTTTCTCCTCAGAATATCTTAAACATCTCCAATAGTAACTACTACCCCATCACCGTGACCCAGCTGACCATTGAGGTGCTGCACCTGTCCCTGGTGGTGGGGGAGATCTCCAACAGCCTCCTCCTACACATCGGCCCTTTGGCCAGTGAGCAGGTGACCCCCTCTCCCTGGACGGCCCTGCCCAGAGGTGTATGGCCACATGTGGTGGTGGGAAGCCCCTCTGGGGCTGGGCCTCACCCTATGCCCATTTGGTTGACAGATCCTTTATGCAGTGGCCAACAAGATAGGGGATGAAAACACCTAGTAAGTATTATCCTTTGATCTCTTCTCCTTTATTCTCTTTCCTGGTTGGAAACCCAGTTTTCATCCCTACCAGATTTCCTGATGGCTTAGCAAACCCTGCAGCCAGCATTTGGCCTTCACTCTCATGGCCAAGACTGCAGTGTGCAAGGGCTCAGGGTCCCCAGCCTCTGCCTGTATAGACCTAGGTTGGAATGAAAACAGGCCAGAATTTGGTTAATTCTTACAACATGTGACCTTGAGCTTTTCAGCCTGAATTGCTGAGGAAGATTTATGTCTTGTTTTCTGTTGAAGGAGGGGCTGGCACATACCTGGGCCAGGCCTGTAGGGCTTAGGGGAATGATACTGCAGCAAGGGTGACCTGCTTAGGGAGAGAGAAAGATTAGGGGTGGCATTTGGGACCCCTGATGGAAAAGAGCTTAGGAGGCAAGGACACGGACCCGCAGGTCTCCTCCATGCCGACAGGCTGCTCAGTGTGAAATGTCCCGTGTTCTTTCTCTCTCAGCAAAATCTGTTCCTGGATGAAAATCAAAGTCCACCATGTACTTTTGCACATCCAGTAAGTAGGGCTGGGATCCCCGGTGTCCCCCCCGCCCCACCTACTTCTGACCCCAGGCTCCCCTCTGCTCCACCTTGTGGGAGGAGTCATCCAGAGCCAACTCCGTGGATCTTTGTTGGCTCCTGGGAATAACAGGTCCAGCCCCATCCCTAGATCCCACCCTGCTTATAAGCCATTGGTGTGACAGCCACAGAGCTATCTGGACTACAGGTGGGACAGCCATCCCAGGTGCCTTGGCAGAGTGGGGAACAGAAGGAAGGGTGGGGGGGACCCTGCCCTCCCAGGACAGCAGAGCAGGGACAGAGCTGTCTGCTTCCTCCCAGACACAGCAACAAAGCCTGCTTCCTCTCCAGGGGCACCCTGACCTGTTCCTACCTGAGCCATTCAGAGCAGCTAGTCTTCCAGAACTATGAGTATGTGGACTGCCGGGGAAACATGTCAGTGCACCACTTGCTGGCCCCTCACCCGCCATGACCTGTCTGCCGGCCCCAAACTCCAGGCCGCTGCCAGCCTGGGCTGTATCTCCCAGCGCCCAAGAACGGACTACAATGACTTTGACAAAGGGAAAGCCCTGCTTTATTATACCTCCCCCCGCCACACACACGCCCTCAGCACAGGAAGCTCTCTGTGGAAGTTAACTTTACACACACGTGCACACGCATCCCCTAAAAAAAAAAAATTTGGTTCTTCTAGGGGTTTTCCCCTTGGTCTGTCTTGAGGAAAGTCTGACCCGATGGTCTTCAGAGCTGCTATAGCGCCCTGGAATGGCGCCTGCCCTTTCAATGCTGAGCCCCTTGGCTGCCTAACTTCTCCAGGGCAGGCCTTCCTCCTGCCCGAATGAAGAAAGTTTTCATTTTATCTGGCTATTAAAACATGGATCTTTTTCAAGTTCTCCACCCAGGGATGGGATTGTGACTTGAGGGACCTGCATGCTGTCTCGTGCCTCCCTGCTTTGGTCATGTGACAAAGGGATGATGATGGTCTGCTTCTCTCCCAGTAACTTGGCCCCTGACAGCAAGATTGGCCAAGGCCCTTTGACCCTGCATCCTCCCTGGTTAAAGACTGTTCCAGTTCCTAGGAAGACAGAGCCCTTCTCTGGCTAAAGCTTCTCCCCGCCACAAAATAGTTTTATTATTCTCGTCACAGCAGGAACCAAGGTAGTAGAGGACAGGAGGCACCCCCTCCTGCCTATCCAGGAAAAACGGAGAGGAGACCAGAATCATCTGATAAGGTGTTTATTGAAGGAGAGCTTCTGGCTGGTGGTGAGGCCACAATCCTGAGTCCCTGTGAGGACACAGGGAGGTCGAATGGTGGTCCCAGCTGCAACCCCCCTCCAGTGAGAGCCGGCAGAGGCAAAGCTATCACGATTTTCAGGGGCCGGCCAAGCTGCTGGTTTCTGCAGCTTCCCCGGCTTAGCCCCAGGGCTCATCCTGTGTACCCAGAGGCCTCTGCTTTCCCTTGGGCATTGACAGTATGGAGCTGCACATCAGTAGGGAGTGGTCTTGACCTCTCCTCTTTGCTATCGCTCAGATGAAGCTAAGTCCCAGGTTCCCACCGGGCTCCAAGCAGAGGCGGTTTGTTTTGTAGCTGAGCCAGAATGGTAGTTGCTCACTAAAGGTGGCTGGGGTTTTTCTCAGGCAGAGAGATGAACTTAGGTGGTGAGTGTGAAGCTGGATGGCTGGAGAGGGGGAAGTGGCACAGAACCCAGCTAGTTGGCTGAGGGGTGGTGTCGAGAAGGTGCTGGCAGGAGCACAGAAGTCCAGAAAGGCCAGGCCAGAGTTTCTGCTGTGTATAGGGCTTGTATTGTATTCAATAAACTGTACTTGACAGTGTTAAAAAGTCTCCTGTGAGTGGGAAGGGAGCTGGTGGACACTCCCAGCCTGTTTCTTAGTGTCCAGGTGGGTGTCGAGCTTCCGTCCCCAGGCCCTGAGCTCCTCAGCACATGTACGGCTTTTCTGGCTTCTGAGAGATTGCTCCCAGGAGCTCGCTCTCTGCCTTTCTCTCCTTGTTTGTCTATTAAGCTCCCTCCCTACTTTAATATTTCTGTTCTGTGCCCCCATCTGCCCCACTCAGGAAACACTATACTGAGGGGCTCCTTCAGCCTGACCCACAGGCCATGCTGTGTGGACCACAGTGAAGGGCTCCAGGCATCCCCTCACCAGTCCAAGGTAGAAAAGGGGGTGGGCTGGGAGGTCCTGGGTGTCAGCTTCAGGAGGTGGTGAGGGGGCTGCCTGAGGCCTTTGGAGCCTCTTGACACACAGGGAAGGAAGAGGGCAGGTGTTCTGTGCTTGAGGCTACAGCCCCCCTTTACTCTGACATCTTTGCAACCCCAGCTTCCCATCATCCATGTAACCACTCAGCGCCCATTAAGGGCCTGGCATTGCGGGGGGGGCTGCCTGACCCCTCTAACACTGCTCCAGGCCTCCCCTGGTGTGATGCAACCCCTCCTTCCCCAGCTGTATCTCAGTAAGCATCGGCCGGGGTCCCAAACCTAGAGCCCCCCAAAGACCTATCCTTGCTAACCCAGGGCTGGCAGTGGAGCTATAAACTAGGGAGGGCCAAGACCAAGCTCCCCCATTGGCTGTGCCTAGGGAAGCATGGAATTACCTTCTTTCACCCCCCACCCACTCCACCCCCTTCACGGGTCCTCATGCCCTCATCCCTCCATCCCAGTCTCACAGAGCTGACCAATCTGTTCATTCTCTTCAGAGGGACATCACATTTTATTCCTAGCTAGCCTTCTCTTCTAGAGTGAATCAGGAGGGGGTGGCCTTTGGAGTGGAGATGCTGCCAGGGTTGAAAGTGCAGGGCTGATCATCTGGGTTTTTCTTTCTTTCTTCTTTTCTTTCTTTCTTTCTTTGCTGATAGCCAGTGGGGGTGGGGGTCTATCTCTGGATCACCACTGCTGTATGTAATTCGTTGACTGGGAAGAAGAAGAGACAGTAGGCAAACCGGGTTACTTAGTTCCTGGGCCTGCTGGTTCCAGAACATTGTATCAAGCCCTTTGAGGCCAGAGAAGTCAAAGTAAAATGGAGCAGCCCAATCCTCCTCCTAAAAGGGCTAGAGCATCAAGGTCTCTTATCCTTTGCACCTGTGTCAGAGAACCCTGCTTTCCAAAGCTCGTACCGTTTTACGTCCTTCTCAAGAGTGACCACCCCGGGTTTGAAGGCCTACAAGGAGCCAGGATCTAAACTAAATGCTTTTGGTGACCTCTCTTGTCATTGCCACATTCAATGGTCCTGACACCTCTATTAAGGAAGTGGTACTGTCGTTCTCATTTTCTGGATGGGGCAGATGGGACCGATGAGGGAGTGGTGATCCTGAGACTCCCAGCCTCTGACTTCAAGTCTCGCCTTCCTCCTGCTCCAGCTGACTCTGTCCCCAATCAGCCCTTAAAACAACAGATTGTCAATCCCTCCATTTATGCTAAGCGCTGAGCAAGGAGCCTGCCTTGGACGTTTTTGTGAGGCAACAAATGGAGGAATGGACCATCCAGAAGTGACTATATAATTGCGTATAAAGACTTTATGTAAGTAACTTTATAAAATATGAATAATTGCAGCCCCTTCCACAAGGAAGCCTCTCTAGGATCCCACACACACGTGCACACATGCACACTCTCAGACACATAGCCAGAGTCTATCTGCCTTTCCCACCATCTCACCGTGAATCGTGAGTACTCCGTGTGTTTATCTGGATTAGATTGGAATGGTTTCCTGAAACCTAATGATGAAACAAAGCACATGTTACTCATCTGACAGTTTCTGCAAATGGATCACGGCAGAGCTGGGCCCTTTACTGTGTGTCTGGGGGGGTAGTGGCAGCCCCTACCTAGGGGAAGGCACCAACCAAACCCACCTGGAAAATTCTCACCTGGGAAGCTGTACTGGGATTCCCTGTCCCAGACCTCCCAGGGCTCAGTATACGGGTTTGTTTGGTTTTTTTTTTTTTTTAATGTTTTATTTATTTTTGAGAGAGACCACACAAGCAGGAGAGGGACAGAAAGAGGGAGACATAGAATCTGAAGACAGGCTCCAGGCTCTGAGCTATCAGCATAGAGCCTGCCGTGGGGCTAAAACCCATGAACCACAAGATCATGACCTGAGCCGAAGCCAGACGCTTAACTGACTGAGCCACCCAGGCGCCTCAGTATACTGTTGTTAAGCCTGCAATTCGGATCCCACTCTCCGGCCACCCTCACCCTGGAGGAGGGGCTGCCAACTTCTCAGCCACCCTCAGCAAAGACAGCAGCCTCCTTCACGGCCCCAGAGAAATGCAAAGATACCCACAGGAAGGTGGGTACCCACAGGAAGAGGTCTTCAAGTAAAGGTCAAAGGTGCTAGGGAGAGTCAGACACAGGAGGACAGATGTGGATTCTGGACTATTGGGCACTCTCTCCTCACCACCTCCCTTCCCAAGCATCTCACTTACCAGCGTTTTGAAGAATTTTTGTGCCTCCCGGGAATCTGTTAAAGTTGGATTGCCCTAGCAATTGACGGACCCTCACCCAGCCATGCTGAGGAGCTGACCTTCGGGAATCCTGTAGAACGCACGCGGAGGTGCACTGACTAAGAGGGTCTTGGGCATTCTGTGGCCTTGGCGGCGGTGGCGGGATCTGAGACTGTTCCAGGAGACGTAGCCGGGTCGCCTGCACTTGGATGGAAGGCGCCCGCAGATGTGGCTGTGCCCATAGCCGCCCTAGTGGCCGCTGCTGCTCCTGCTGAGACTCCAGAAGTGGCTGGGGTTTGTCCTCAGATTGGAGTTCCTCCTGTTGGGAGTTCCTTCAGTTCCTGGCAAGAAGCTCCCCCTCCCTCCCCACCCAGGCACCCATCTGCCAGGACACCGCAGAGAGCCAGGCAAGCAAGGAATGGAGAAACAGAGGTTCCAGGAAGGTCCCTATTCTGGGGCGTAGGAGGCTAGGCTATCTCCCTTTACCCACAACACCAAGAACTGTTTCTTTGATGATAGTGCCCCCTGGCCCAGCCCTGGCCCAAGAAACAGCAGTCTCTGAGCACCTACCTCCTAGCTCGGGAGCTCTGCACTGAAAACAGTTTGCAGTGCAGGAGAACAAAGAATACTTTCTTGGGGTGCCTGGGTGGCCCAGTCGGTTAAGCGTCCGACTTCAGCTAAGGTCATGATCTCGCGATTCATGGGTTTGAGCCCCGCGTCAGGCTCTGTGCTGACAGCCAGCTCAAAGCCTGGAGCCTGTTTCAGATTCTGTGTCCCTTTCTCTCTGACCCTCCCCTGCTCACACCGTCTCTCTCTCTCTCTCTCTCTCTCTCTCTCTCTCTCTCTCAGAAATACATTTAAAAAAAAAAAGAAAAGAATACTTTCTTGCAGTGGTGCCTGGGTGGCTCAGTCTGTTAAGCTTCCGACTTCTGCTCAGGTCATGATCACATGGTTCGGTTCGTGGGTTTGAGCCCCACATAGGATTCTGTGCTGACAGCTAGCCTGGAGCCTGTTTCAGATTCTGTATCTCCCTCTCTCTGACCCTCCCCTGTTCATGCTGTCTGTCTCTCAGAAATAAATAAAACAACATTAAAAAAAAAAATACTGGGGCGCCTGGGTGGCTTAGTCGGTTAAGCGTCCGACTTTCGCTTAGGTCATGATCTCGCGGTTCGTGGGTTCGAGCCCCGCGTCGGGCTCTGTGCTGACTGCCAGCTCAGAGCCTGGAGCCTGTTTCAGTCTGTGACTCCCTCTCTCTCTGACCCTCCCCTGCTCAAGCTGTCTCTCTCTCTCTCTCTCCTAGAAATAAATAAAAACATTAAAAAAAATTTAATAAAAAAAAATACTTTCTTGCAAACACTTTGAAACCACACTGTCCAATTGAAATATAATGCATGCCACAAGTAATTTAAACTCCTCTAGTAGCCACATAAAAAAGTAAGAAACAAATGACACTAATTTTAATATATTTTGGTTAACCCAATACATCTAAAACAGGTAATCAGCATGAAAATATTAATGAGATTGCTTATATTCAGTGTTTCTGTACTAAGTCTGTACATCATGTATTTTATATGTAACAGTACCTCTTAATGTGGACACTAGATTTTGACTGAAATTAATTGGTTTATATTTAGATTCCATAAAAATGGATAGTTGGAAAAGATTTACGGAGCGCCTGGATGGCTCAGTCCATCAAGTGTCAAACTTCAGTTCAGATCATGATCTCATGGTTCCTGAGTTCCAGCGCCGCATGAGCCTCTCTACTGGCAGTGTAGAGCCTGACTGGGATCCTCTGTCTCCCTCTCTATGCCCTCCCCTACTGACGCTCACACGCATGCTCTCTCTCTCAGAAATAAATATTTTAGGGGCACCTAGGTGGCTCAGCTGGTTAAGGCTCTGGTCAGGATCTCACAGTTTGTGGGTTGGAGCCCTGCATCAGGCTCTGTGCTGACAGCTCTCAGAGTCTGGAGCCTGCTTCGAATTCTGTGTCTCCCTCTCTCTCTGCCCCTCCCCAGCTCATGCTCTGTCTCTCTCTCTCTCTCAAAAAAAAATTTAAAAAAATTTTAAAACACATTTAAAAGAAATAAACATCCTTTCGATTTTTAAAAATGTTTTATTTATTTTTGAGAGAGAGAGATAGAGACAGCATGAGCAGGGGAGAGTCAGAGAGAGAGAGGGAGACACAGAATCCCAAGCAGGCTCCAGGCTCCAAGCTGTCAGCACAGAGCCCAATGCGGGGCTCGAACTCACGAACTGCGAGATTATGACCTAAGCTGAAGTCGGACGCTCAACTGAGCCACCCAGGCGCCCCAATAAATTAAAATTTTTAAAAATAAAATCTCATGGAAACCAACTTGACAATAAACTATTTTTAAAAATGCAAAAAATAAATAAATAATACAATAAAATATCTCAGACCTGACCCTCCCTGGGTCCCCCACTGGGCCTCAGCCTAGTTCAACAGTAAAGCTGAGTTACCCTCATGCACACACACAGAGTACATTCCGGAGAACGTCAAAGGACCTTACTTTTCTCCTACCCCCAGCAAAACATTGACCAAATAGCTTCCTAGGGATCTTTCTATTCCCGTCCCGCCCCTTGAAGCCCTGATGAACTTGGCCCCTCGCATGCACCTGCTCTTGCTGCTCCTGCTCTTGCTGCTCCTGCTCTTGCTGCTCCTGCTGCTGCTGCTGCTGCTCCTGCTGCTGCGCCATCAACCACCTCCTCCGGTCCAAAGCCATCTGCCTGCGACGGGCCTCCCAGTGGTAAGCACTCCCCATGATGGCGGGATGGCAGAAGCAGGTGGGGGCAGGCAGAGCCCTGGATGCTGTCACTGCCCTCACCCCCTGTGTTTCCTCTCATCCCCCCACCCCCCACTGCCTGTAACCAAAACCACCTCACAATGTGGGCCAGCCACTACCCGGGGCAACTAGGCAGCCCCCGCCCCCATCCTGGGGAGGAGGGAGGCCATCCTCTTGAGCTGCCTAGGGAATGTCTGTAAAGTACCTTTCTCTCCAAGGCCCTGTGCAGGCAAAAGACACCCTTCCACCTTTGCTTTGAATTTCCATGGGCCCCAGGGACAATTTCTGAGTCAGCTGGCTTTTCTCTCTGATTTCTTCCTCCCACCCTTCCAGGATCTCAGCATCCTCACCTGGCCCTCTGCTGACCCCTCCCTCCCCACCACCAAAGTGGTATTCTCAGGAATTCCCTCAGTCCTCCATCTCCTCCAGCTGTGCTGAGTCAAAAGGAAAGAAAATGTAAAATCCAGCTAACCTTCCCTGGAGTCTGAGCCCCGTGAAGGCAAGGTGGCCAATTAGCTTAGCGAGTGACCTAGTCCTGGGAATTTATAATGATGGGCTCAAGCCTGGTGTCTACCTCTTCCTCTGACCCTGGAGACCCTACATAACCCTCTCTGGATCTTAGTTTCCTTGCCCATAGAACAAGAAGGATATGACTTGTTACCTCCTTCACAGGACTGGTATCAGGACCAAGTGGATTCATGGATGAAAAGTGTACAAGACAAAGTATAAACTTGTGTAGCTACTCCCACCTGATTTTCATGCCCGGGAGGTGGAATGGCCAGGGGAAGGGATCATTTCCTGCAACCCAGGCAGGCTTCTGGGGGCAGGGACTGGGTAGACTATTGACTTACCTGCTGCATACAAGTGCCCTTACCCACAGATAACAATCTTTCTAGAAGCAGCAGAGCCTGAGCCCGGCTTCTGGTCTGGAGGTCGGGGAAGGGCATGGGTGAAAAAGGGCTTTAAACCCAGTCACAGCTTCAAACACTGTGCTGGTGGAAAGTAGGGTGGGGTGGGAAGGTGACAAGGGAAAGCAGCCCTAGAACCAGAGAACAAATCCCTAGAGAGCCTGCCGATTCAGGTGGCCGCTGTAGTAGAGTCAGACAGGCTCAGGTTTAATTCTGCCTGTGCCACCTACTAGCTGGTGGCACCTAGGTAGGTCATCCAATGTCTCTGAGCCTTTCCTATGAAACTTTATGTAGAGGCCGCTTTCAGGTGGAATGTAGAAAGGGTCCACAGTGAGCAGCCACCTAGCTGAATACAGCAGGTCCATCAGGATACCCACCTCAAAATACCCATAAGCCCTAACTAACCAACTTGCAACCAGACACAGTTCCCAAAAAGGGAAAATCCCATGTGTCCCCATACCTCTTTACCTTCCCCTTTTAAAAACAGCCCCAGGGGCACCTGGGTGGCTCAGTTGGTTAAGTGTCCAACTCTTGATTTCAGCTCAGGTCATAATCACACATTGTTTGAGTTTGAGCCCCGTGGCAGGTGACTGGGATTCTCTCTCTACTCCTCCCCTACTCGTTCTCTCTCTTTCTTTTTCTCTCTCTCTCAAAATAAGTAAATAAACATGTATAGATGAATAAGTAAGTAAATAAATCAGCCCCCACTGCCTCACTGTAGACAGTGTCTCCCCTGCTATCCTGCCTCCCGCTCCTTTGCGGTGTATTCTATAAACTTCTATCTCAGCTGTTCTGCCTCAGGTGAATCCTTTCATTGATTGTGCCATCACCTCCCACCCGAATAGAATACTCACATTTGGGGCGCCACATGCCCCACATTCAGAGGCCCTCATTCGATCAAGAAAGACACCACATTTTGGAAGAATCCATGGACTGCTTCGAAAGTGGCTGCCCTCACAGTGAGCATGAGCCAGTCCTCATGCCAGAGGAGGGATTTCCAAGGTGAAGCTGGCAAGATTGTGCCCCCCACCTCCCTGTGTGGCTGCGTCTCCCAACCCCATCTCTGACCTCAGACTTCCCTCCAGTTCTGGGATTCTTCTCCATATGCCACTCCACCCCTTTCGGTCCGGATTGTAACTCCTATTGGCCCTTAGGGAACTTCCCAGGCTATTACTTGATTTGTATCCTCTAGTACTTTTGCACTTATTGTATTTATTTTAGAGAGAGAGCGTGAGCAGGGGAGAGGACAGAGTGAGAGAGAGAGAGAGAGAGAGAGAGAGACTCTTAAGCAGGCTCCATGCTTAGTGTGGACCCCCACGCAGGACTCAATACCACCACCGTGGGATGGTGACCTAAGCCGAAATCAACAGCCAGATGCTCAAACTACTACTGAGCCATCCAGGCTCCCCAACATTTGCATTTTTAAATAAGACTTCTCTCTCTCTCTCTCCTAGAAATAAATAAAAAAAAAAAAATTAAAAAAAAAAAAAAAAGACTTGTTATTATCCAACACCCAGAATCTTTGTTGTAGAAGGAACAAAGTAGATTTAGAAGGACAGGCCAGTTAAGTCCTATGAAAAGCCAGCTGTGTTATTTATTACATATACAAATGTGGTCTACTTGCCCTCTCTCTGACCAGTTTCCTCACCGGCATAGTAGAGCTAATAATACCTCTATGCTGCGATGATTGAAGGAAATAATCCGTGTCTATAATGCACAGGAGTCAACAAACAGAGGCTTTCACATCCCAAAAAACTCATTGTAAGTTGAAAATGGAAGCCGAAAATGCATTTAATACATCAACGTATGAAACATAATGTCATAGAATAATCTATCATAGCTACTAACTCAGAAAACAAATGGGTAAGCCCTGGCCCTCTGTCCCAGCCAACTGTTCCTGCCCAAGTCCAGCTCTGGCCGGGTCCAGGGGTCCCTGAAGGATGGACGGTGTTGGCGAGGGAGGGAGTGAGGGAGCCCCGAATATCTTTCTGGTCACCAGGCAGGCATCTCTGTCCTGTTGGTTTTGGTGTCTTTATTTATAGGTCAAACATTAACATGGCGTCAGAAAATGGAATTTTTACAATGGATAGTTCTCTGTGATAAGATGTTTTTGGAAAATGTACAGAAACAGGTTTTACAGAAGGATTCTTGCAGAACTGCCCCAATTATAGTGAGGTTGAGTAACTAAGAAAATAACAGGATGTTCACATTTTAATAACACTAAGATTAAGTCATAGGTTTGTAGATACTCTTTTTTTTTTTAATGTTTTATTTATTTCTGAGAGAGAGAGAGACAGCATGAGAAGGGGAGGGTCAGAAAGAGAGGGAGACACAGAATCTGAAACAGGCTCCAGGCTCTGAGCTGGCTGTCAGCACAGAGCCCAACATAGGGCTCGAACCCACAAACCGTGAGATCATGACCTGAGCTGAAGCCAGACACTTAACCAACTGAGCCACCCAGGCGCCCCGGTTTGTAGATACTCTTATACGTCCTCATCATAGCTGCCAGTAAGGGAAGTGTTTGTCGAATGTAGGCCTTAGGGAAGGGGCTGCTATATATCATCAGTTAGCAAAGGTATATGTGGTAACTTATGTTCTGCTCTTATCTGTTCCTTCTCTCTAAATTAGGCTCTTTGGGGGCGCCTGGGTGGCTTAGTCGGCTAAGCGTCTGACTTTCGCTTGGGTCATGATCTCGCGGTTCGTGGGTTCGAGCCCCGCGTCGGGCTCTGTGCTGACTGCCAGCTCAGAGCCTGGAGCCTGTTTCAGTCTGTGACTCCCTCTCTCTCTGACCCTCCCCTGCTCACGCTGTCTCTCTCTCTCTCTCCTAGAAATAAATAATAAAAAAAAAAACATTAAAAAAATAAATAAATAAATTAGGCTCTTTGTCTCCAGGCAAGACTTGATTTTCCAGTTATATGCTTTATGGCACCAGAGAGCCAGCCATACCTTTAAAGAGTTTAGCTCATTTCCAATACATAGAATAGCCTCATCGAGTGCATTTATCTTTGTGTCTAGTTTTATGATTTCTTGAATAGCTAGGGCATGAGAGACATCTTTGGTTAGCTGATTTACATGTTGAGCTGTATGAACATCTTGGACTAATGCAACGGTAGAAACAGAATTGTACATGTAAAGGGCAATCTTTTATGAGTAAGGGTCATTAGCCTGTTCATAGCTCAAGGGAAAGTATGGAGGGAAACAGGACCTGCTGGAGACACGATGTCTGTTCCCATAATCGAAAGAAGAACTTCCCACAAAAGGTCCTTCACAAGGTGCAATCATCACACCAGGGCCAGAATAAGGGGACAAGTCACTCCTGATACCGATCAACAAGGTACCTTGGGGGTCGATGCTCAAGCAGAAATAATTGAATGGGGGTGGATATCGATTGTCATCTGATTGGCAAGAGACCGTGCAAACTTGCTTTAACCTCACCAGGAGTTTTCTCAACTAGTGGGTTCAGAATGGCTCCCAGCATTTTCCCTCCTGGGGAACCTGGAGGGGGCTGGACAAATCAAAATCATAGCATCTGGCAGGGTTTACCAACACTGTTACCAAGCAAATTTGGATAAGTTCTTTGCAAGAGAAGCCAGTAACTCAAGCGAAGAGGGTTTGGAAAACAGAAAGGGAGAGATTTATGTCAGGTGCCAGCATCTGGGGAAGATGACAGCCTCAAACATTGACAATCAACCCCTCCAACAGCAAGATGGACATCTAATGTTTTCTAGAGGTTCAGGAGGGTGGGTACCTGCAAGAGAGAAGGCGGGGAGCATATGATCATGGGTTGGGGAATGGGATCAGTATGCATTCAGCCCATGATTTGGGGCAAGGAAAGGAATGTGTGAAATGTGGTCTTCTAGACATTCCATTGCTATCAGGGCTTTTCTGGTCTAGCAATTGGAATGTTCCAGTCATTGTCATTGCCTCAAAAAAATACACTAAGAAATAACCATTAATGGGGCGCCTGGGTGGCTCAATTGGTTAAGTGTTGAACTTTGGCTCAGGTCATGATCTCACAGTTTGTGAGTTCAAGCTCCAAGACAGGCTCTCTGCTGACAGCACAGAGCCTGCTTCAGATCCTCTGATCCCCCTCTGCCTGTCTCCCCCTCACTCTCTCTCTCTCTGAAAAAATAAATAAAAA